AGTTGTGCGGGGCAACAATTTGAGGGGTTGAGAGATTAGGCGAGACTTCGTGGCAACATCAGTCCAGCAAATTGAGGCCCTGTTCGGTAGCCCTCCCAGTCATACTGCGGTTGGTGCGTGGGATCTTCTTTTTCCTAGATTCAAATCGATTAAAGCCCAACAAACCATTATTAGAACACCGAGCCTGTCCAGTGCAACTGGGCTACCGAACGCATAAAAACCCCACTTCAACTGCGTGCTAGGACACTACCACGAAACTGTCGCTCCCAGGCAAACTCGACAGTCAGTGGAAGTCCCTCCCATTTCAGCTTTCCAGTTCAACCCAGGCAGGCCCGCTCAGAGTGGCAGGCTGGAGGGTATACGCTGCACTAGTTTCAAATTAAGGTTTTTTAGCACGCTCTTTCAAACGATGAGAGATCTTGCCCGTTCCTGATTATCTTTATCCATATCGACGGTTTTTCATTTGGCGGACTGATTTTTTGTTTGTGGGTGGGGCAGCCTCGTACAGCAGTAAAAGTTTCGGCAAGTAATTTCCCAAGAAACGCACGGTAACTTCTTGCGCCGAATATATCTCAGCGGACAAGCGAGTCCGCTCGGGGAAGCTCGCTGCCTGCGGGCAAAAAAAATAAACCCTAGAAGGGCATGCATCCGGTCAGGGAGGCATCAAACCTAAACACAGGGAGGCATGGATTTAGGGTTGATGCCTCCCTAGGATGGCATGCCATCCGATAGGGTTTTAGTTTTTTTCTGCCCGGGGCAGCATGTCGTCAAGTCGTAAGAGGATCGTCAGGCTTGACGACCCGTTTCCGCTGAGACATTCCGTTTGGGAAAGAGACTTCCTTTCAGTCTGAGTGGACGCCCGAGGCTACGAAACATGTCGTAGGCTTCCCCAGTTCGAGTGGGCCCAGTGTGACTGGAAGGCTACCGAACAGGGCCTGAGAAATGCGGGATTTGGATGCGGCGAGAAGCCACTTGGAAGGACTTGCCCGTACATTTCATGCGGAAGCATTAACGCCTACAGAACAGCGCCAGTATCCGACACTTCTCCCGCGACTCAGCATCGAAGAGGATTTGGGTACGGGTGTAGCCTCATCACTCCAATTCCTCGTCGTTGATAGGTACAACTTCTTACTCGTGCACTAGACCCTGAAAAGCGGGAATCTGTGAGGGGAGGGAAAGCAAAAATGTGCGCTTCGGGAACGAGATTGGAGCCATTGACTTATCGACCGCGGGCTGACGTGGTGAGCTACATGAGCTGGATGCACCCATGTGGATTATCCAGCTCAGCTCGCCACACCACTAGTCACCGATCTCACGCGCGAACCGCACCCAGCTCAGAATGGATGTGAATACCCCCCTCAAAGCTCCATAGCCCCGCAGTCCAGAATCATGGGCGAGATTCAGAAATGCTCCCAGGAAAACGAAAACACGGCCCTCACTAATCTCCGCCCACATTCACAGGAGGTATGGGTTGCTGGGTGGCACGAGATTGCCTCACATTGCGCAGCACCTAACATTTGTATAAACAACCATTTCACATTTCTCACATCTCAAGATTTCAAACTTCCAGCTTTCTTGCCCTGTACAGCTTCTGCCGTCGTCGTTGACCAAAGCGCCTCTCTACATTTATCTGTAGTTTCAAGGCCTTTGCACGACTTTCCGACATAATGGCTGCGACCCTCTCCTCCTCGGCGTCCGCCTCCCTTCGCTCCCTCTCAGTACCAGAGGGAAGCACCCTCTCCTCTTCCTCCCGCGCGGCAATCCCAGCGTTCTCCGGCCTCAAGGCGCACTGGGGCCTCTCCGCCTCTGCCGGGGTTCAATCATGCACCTCCGTGTCCAGCTATTGCCCATGCGCGAAATGCGGTAACCGTCGCACCAACATCGTCGCCATGGCCAGCGACGACAGCCAATTCGCCAGCGTCTCCCAATCCACCGCCGCTCCCGCCGCCCCTGCCACCAGCGCCCTCCTCCCCGCCGTCGTCGGCGCCGGCGCTCTCGGCGCCGCGACCTACGTCGCCGTGAAGAAGCTCACCGCGTCTCCCGCCGCCGCTCCCGCCGCACCCGCCCCCTCCTCTCCCGCGGTGACCAGCGTCCCGCCCAGCGGCATCGTCCCGCGCGCGAAGCACGCGGCGGCGTCCGCTCTGGCGACGATGGCGACGACGTTCCCGTCGGCGATGCAGGAGGAGGCGTTCCTGAAGGCCGTGGCGGTGGAGCTGGCGAAGCTGGGGTTCCGCAAGGATAACGGTATCGCGCTGGTGAACACGTGCCGCGACGAGGTGTGCCGGCCCGTGGTGAGCATCATCGACCGCGAGTTCGGGCTGAGCTTCAACATCTCGGGGCTGGGCGGGCTCGTCAACTGCGGCAAGGTCGGCTTCGGAGCCGCCATGAGCCACTCGCCTGAGTTCCCCTGCGACGTCGACGGCAACCTCAAGGAGCGATGTGAGTCTGGGTTCTCATCAGGGTTACCCTACGGCGAATTGAGTAACATTCGAAATTACCTTGTTTTCCACATTTGCCGCGTGTCATTTCAGCATCCTCACTCATCGCTTCTCCGACGCTTGTCCTGTATTCAAGCGGCTTTTCTATATAATCTGCTGCAACCCTCCTGGTTTCCCCACTGCAAAACATACCACAAACCCCAAGTGTTTCTTCACTGAATTAACCCTCTTATTTCCTCATCCCGTATTTTAACCTCCCCTCTGCAGACATCTTCTTTGCGTTCCCGCACGTGTCCATCGGCGAGTCGGGCGAGGTGGGGTCGCTGCTGCGTCGCGGTCGCGGCAAGCCGTCGAGCGCATGCGGAGCGTTGATCGCCATCAACAACGACATCAACAACGGCGTGGCGCCCAGCATGGACAGCGACGACCCCGAGTACACGCTGCTGCGCAAGAAGATCATGGCTAAGGTGAGCAGAAGCGAATCATATATAATCACGCTGCTACGTTGATAAATATAACGTACTACTTTTGACGAGGCAGAAAATACAAGTCCAGGATGCAAATTCTTTGCCACAAAGACTAGAAATTAATCGTCTCCCAATGTTGAATATCCCGCCTCCTAATCCCTTCTCGGTAGGTGTCGGGCGGCAACAAGTCGCTGGTGGACGTGACGCGCGCGGCGCTGGCGGCGATCAACGAAGACTTGGAGAAGCTCATCTCGCTCACGGTTAACCCCGAGACGGCGGACTACGCCGTGATCACGGGCGTGCAGATCCACTCGGGCGACCAGATTCCCGGCCAGCCCTTCCGCATCGAGCGCACCTGCGACTACATCGCGCCCGACAAGATGTACGCCGTGGTGCGCGGCCAGAAGTACGACCTCAAGGTTGAGACGCCCAAGTCGCAAGGCGTCGCTGCCATGGTTTGAAGTCGCCTCTGCTCCAGAGGAAGTCTTAGTGAAACATGATTTGTCTCGTTATGTGGCTAGGCTGTAAGTTGGTACCCAAGTGTGGTTTAGCTTGTTTTTGGCTGGGACAGGTGTCCCTGCTTTAGCCTGTAAATTATGTGTTTCTCTCTGCCCACATTATAATTCATTGAGCTATTATATCTGCGTCGTTAGTTCCAAGAAGTAGCAGCATCTACCAGTGATAGAAGGTCGAAAGGACTGACTTCATTACAATGCGGCAACATTAGGTGGTGCTAGCAGGAAATCGGCAAAATGGACTAGGTTACGTTTCTGTTTAGGACGCGTCACCTGAAGCGGATCGATCGGCAACAAGATCGGTTTTGCGCAGTGGGTGTAGCTTTGTAGCGTCGTAATCAACAAGGTAACTAAATGTCGTAAATGTTCGCGAATGTACAGTAAAAATGTGCCCACGAACCTGTCACCTACGGGAGCTCTGATTGATACAGCCAAGTAAAAATATCGAGCGTGAGATTGGGTGGCGGGGTGTGGAATTTCGCGCCACAAGTGACAGTCAATTTCGATTGTTTTCGCTCGTCATCGCATACCCTAGGTTTCCCATTGCGATTCTGCGCACGACAACATTGCTGTTGTCGCAGGCTAGGTTACCACAACCCCGTAACCTGCCATACCGAACCTGTCACCTGTATATCGGTGCGCCGTAGCTGCGCAGTCATGGGCACCGATCTCTACCGAGCTTGGGCTCGAAATGACAATCGGTGCGGTTCGGCCGATCTTCGGCCGATCCGCTTCAGGTGACGCGTCCTTAGAAAGCTTTGAGCAGGGATGGTTTCTGCTCAAAGCTTCCTTCCTCCCTTGCCGTGCAGCTTTGACCAAGATACCCAGGCGAAGAAGAATTGTTCGCAATACCGTAACAGTTACCCAACTTCCGTAAAATGTTTCGCTTTCAGCTTACTTGATAAACCCCATACCTTGATACACACTTACCCTAGAGCAACTAATTTTCAGATTCTGAGATACAGTGTGGCCTGCTAAACAACCCAAGGCCTCTTCATGCTTGCGCTGGCAATACACCTTTCCATGGCTTGTTTCCTGAATAGCGAATACGGTAAATTGGAGCGCTTCCATGTAGCACCCCTACAAAGCAAAGTCTGTAATATAGACCAGTCTTGCTAAGGGTACATTCCTGCAGGGACACTTGTGTCTCAAAGCCTTTGTGACGCGTAAAACAACATATAACGTACAATGTCTCAAACACGAATCGCCCTTGTGCGATTGTTACTGTACTTTTCATTGGTCAGCGTGAAATGCGCTGACGTCTCTGACGAATTGTAAACCGACTCGTCATTGTTTAAAAATCGCACGTGGTTCGAAATGTCAATGCACCTGGTCTGCCTGCAAAGCCAATTTCGCGCGGGAAACAATCCCGCGCGTCGAAACCATACCCCAGCCAAGCGGGGGAAGACACGAGTGTACAGTCAATTCTGTCACCCAATCAAACGCGCCCAACTGTGCATGTCGCCTGGTCGCCTAGTTTCACGATACATTCATTGTTTGTGACGCGAGATTGACAAAATGTTTCGACGCGATTCGGGAAAAGGGGGATTGAGACACAAGTGTCCCCGCAGGAATGTACCCTAATAACTTAGGCCCAGCTGAAGCCCGAGAAGCCCATGAGCAACAAAAAGCACCATAATAAGAATCCCCAAAGAGCCATGCACACCCCGCAGGTCAGGATTGCCCTGGAGGAGTGGGGAAGAAGAAGATGGATTTGATGGGGTTAGATGGGGTATAGAAACAGAGATGGGGAGGAACACGGGATAAAGAAACAGAGACATGCAAGGGGCAGAGTTCATGCATATTGTATCTAGCAATGGAGCTCATGGATGGATTTGTAGGGACTATAATGCGGTGTGTGTAGACCACATTGAGCAACAAGCAGCACACTTATGTCGAAGAGGACAGTCGTGATAGTGTGAGTGGTGAGCGGTGGGGGTGAGCAGAGCATGGCAGTGAGCAAGAGTGCACGCAAAATGGCACACATACTCGGCAGTGAGCAGTCGTGACATACTCTCTGAGCTGCGAGCATTTTGCAGCGGGAATGCGCAAGAAGATGTGGATTCGAACCGCAGCAGCGGAGTGGTCTCCTCTGAATTTTTAACTAACCGCTTGGGGTACTTAGAGTGGGAAAAAAGTAGAATCAGGACTTAGTAAGTCCAACTTCAGTAAAGAGCGTAGGCGTACACATTTCGGCCGTGGGGCCTTCGTCAGCGCCGTGGGATTACAGAATGAAAGACTACTCTAACCCCTTTTCTACCCATTTCCCGTTATCCTCTAACTTCCCCGAATTCCCCGAGGTCTAGACAACTCCAGGTGTAATCTACCCGAACCGCAAGTCGGATTACCCTTGCCAGCGCGGACAAATAGTCCCGAAGGTCAAAGGGACTTCCAATCCTCGACACTAGGTGAAGCGAGCCCTTACCGCTGTAGTGAAGCGAGCCCTTACTGCTGTAGTGAAGCGAGCCCTTACTAGTCGGTGTTGTAACCGTGCAGGTAACTTCCAACATGTCAAATAAAGAGGGAATTGTAGGTCAGCTATATTGAAATCACTTTTGAGAATTCTCAAAAGTGATTTCAATACATACTCGGCAGTGGGCAGTTGTGACATACTCTCTGAGCTGCGAGCATTTTGCAGCGGGAATGAGCATTTTACAGAGAGCAGTCATTGCAGGTGACCCACCTTGAAGAGGGCAGTCATTGCAGGTGACCCACCATGAAGAGGGCAGTCATTGCAGGTGACCCACCTTGAAGAGGGCAGTCATTGCAGGTGACCCACCTTGAAGAGGGCAGTCATTGCAGGTGACCCACCTTGAAGAGAGCAGTCATTGCAGGTGACCCACCTTGAAGAGGGCAGTCATTGCAGGTGACCCACCTTGAAGAGGGCAGTCATTGCAGGTGACCCACCTTGAAGAGGGCAGTCATTGCAGGTGACCCACCTTGAAGAGGGCAGTCATTGCAGGTGACCCACCTTGAAGAGAGCAGTCATTGCAGGTGACCCACCTTGAAGAGGGCAGTCATTGCAGGTGACCCACCTTGAAGAGGGCAGTCATTGCAGGTGACCCACCTTGAAGAGGGCAGTCATTGCAGGTGACCCACCTTGAAGAGGGCAGTCATTGCAGGTGACCCACCTTGAAGAGGGCAGTCATTGCAGGTGACCCACCTTGAAGAGAGCAGTCATTGCAGGTGACCCACCTTGAAGAGGGCAGTCATTGCAGGTGACCCACCTTGAAGAGGGCAGTCATTGCAGGTGACCCACCTTGAAGAGGGCAGTCATTGCAGGTGACCCACCTTGAAGAGGGCAGTCATTGCAGGTGACCCACCTTGAAGAGGGCAGTCATTGCAGTCTGAATGGTGAGCAGCACGAGACCGGCCATGCCTGAGTAAGCATGGGGGCTGCATGGCATTGGGAAAGCAGAGGAAAACATTTGACTGAACTCGAAAAGAGAAAGATGTTTGATCGACTCAGAGGGCTGAATGGTGAGCAGCACGAGACCAGCCATGCCTGAGTAAGCATGGGGGCTGCATGGCATTGGGAATAAGTGAAGAAACGCGAATATTGTGACCCTGCTGGAAAGTCCGTCCGATGGATGAGCAGCACAATATCAGCCATGCCTGAGTATGGGCGAGTGCCTCATGGAACAACAATAGAGTAAACAGATCAATAAATGATCAATGATAGATTTAACGAATAAAAAGTAATAAACAATAAATAATATGAATAGTTGAATGAAACAGGACGGAAGGAGGCAGAGAGAGAGGCAGTAAGAGAGTGGAAGAAAGAGGCGGGCTGATGATGGTGACGAGAGTGGTGAGTCTGCCGGGGGAATCATGGAAGCAAACCGCCCACACAGCAACAAACCGTTCAGCATCCCTCACTCACCCTCCTCCACCCCTCACCTTTCAAACATGGGCCGGCCGGTGGTGACGAGAGTGGTGAGCCTGCCAGTGGCCCCCACACATGCACACTCACCATCCCACACCTTCCTTTGAGTCGACTCAAAAGCAGTGGCCCCCACACATGCACACTCACCATCCCACACCTTCCTTTGAGTCGACTCAAAAGCAGTGGCCCCCACACATGCACACTCACCATCCCACACCTTCCTTTGAGTCGACTCAAAAGCAGTGGCCCCCACACATGCACACTCACCATCCCACACCTTCCTTTGAGTCGACTCAAAAGCAGTGGCCCCCACACATGCACACTCACCATCCCACACCTTCCTTTGAGTCGACTCAAAAGCAGTGGCCCCCACACATGCACACTCACCATCCCACACCTTCCTTCCCCTCTCACTTTCCTCCTCCCCTCACCTTTCAAAGATGGGTCGGCCGGTGGTGACAAGGGAGGTGAGCCCACCAGTGGCACCGATGGCGAAGAAGAGAAACATGAAGCCCATGATGGGCGGGTGGGCTGCCCGCGCTGCTGCCTTGGCCTCCTAAACCACGGAGCACGTGGAGAAACGGGAGAAACGGGAGCAACGGGAGCAACGGGAGCAACGGGAGCAACGGGAGCACGGGAGCACATGGAGAAAGGAAGACAAGAGAAACATCAAGGCCATAACGGGTAGGAGCCGTACCTAAAGCCCCCATTGCTTTGAAACGTCTCAAGAGCCCCCCACCTTCTCTCCCCCCTCCCCTTTCTCCCCACCCCCTTCCTCCAATATTCCTCTCTCACCCCTGCCACATAGCTCACAGGTGACGAGGCGAGGCGAATCTGCCATCCCAGGTAGGAGCCGTATCCCCCCATGGCTAGAAGAACCACTGCCTGCACGCCACGTGGCAGCACATGATGGGAACACATGACACATGGCATGAGATTGAGCAAGCAATGAAAGGCTGGGTGGATATCATGTGCACATCACATGTCACCATGTGCACATCACATGTCACCATGTGCACATCACATGTCACCATGTGCACATCACATGTCACTATGTGCACATCACATGTCACCATGTGCACATCACATCTCACCATGTTGCCGGGATGCCCCCAGTGGATGAGCCAGTCAGGAAGATTCCAGGAACGCACCAACTCCCCATACGGCTCTAACAGCTCTCTCAAGGCGTCAGCTGGGCGATTGGGGAGGGGGGAAATGGAGAGGGGGAAAGAAGAGAGGGGGGGGAAAGGGAGGGGGAGAGTGGAGGGGAGGAGGAAAAAGGAAGGGGGAGAGTGGGGGGGCGAGGGGGGAAGGGTGGAAAGATAGATGGGGGGGAAAGGGAAGGCAAGCAGGAGAGTTGGTGGCTGGGGGACCGAGGGGTTATGAAGAGAGGTTGCCAAGAGGAATGGTGAATAAGAGGAAGTGATGGGGTTGGCGGGAACCGAGGTTTGCTTTGCATGAAGTGAGGGAGAACTTTCCTGTAAGATCTCATGGGTGCGCAGAATCAGGGAAAGAGTGGAATAGAAGAGAGAACAAAAGTGAGAGAGAACAGAAATTAATCTGCACATCCCCTCCATCTCCCTCGCTGTACCAGCATTGCCTCCCCTTCTACCCTCTCCATCCGTTCCCTCTGCGCACTGACTCTATGCATCGCCTTCCTTGCGTACTTCCCGTTCTCACTCTACGACTCACCTTCCTTCCTGGCTTACCAGCCGCAAGCCCCCCATTTACCCCATTCCCCTCCTCCCACCCTCCCCCCCTCCCCTCCTCCCCACCCTCCCCCTCTTCCCCCCTCCCCACTCCCGCCACCCGCGCTCCCCCTCTCCCCCCTCCCCTTTTCCGCCCCTCCCTCCCTTCCCCCCTCCCCCCTTTTCCCCTTTAGCCTACCAGCGGCAAGGGCGGCGACGGGCATGGGCGCAACGGACATGAGGCGGAGCTCATTCCGCGATTCCTCCTCCCCCGCTGCGCTGCGCTGCTCTGTCTCCCCCGCCCGCCTTCCTTGCTCCGCGCGCACGCGCAGGCCTGCGCGCAAGGGGGGCGGGGAAGGCGTCAGATAGGAGAGGGCAGAAGGGCGGAAGTGAGGAAGGGCGGAAAGGCAGAAAGGCGGAAAGGAAGAAGAGCGGAAGGACGGAAGGGCGGAATGGCGGAAGGGCGGAAGGGCGGAAGGGCGGAAGGGCGGAAGGGCGGAAGGGCAACGTTGAAGTTGGCCGAGAGGAAGCGGGGCAGAAGGAGCGGGGCGGAAGGAGGGGCAACGATAAAGCGCGGCGGGGAAAGGAGCAAAAGAGAGTGCGCTCGCCGAATGCTGCAAGCTGGCAAGGAGGGGCGTTGAAACGAGGAAGACGAGGAGCGGCGTTGCTCTTCTAACGAGAAACGGCGTTGCTCTTCTAACGAGGAACGGCGTTGCTCTTCTAACGAGGAACGGCGTTGCTCTCAGAGGCGTAGAAGGCTTCTAACGAGGACGTACGCTGCAGATGAGATGAGATACCTCCCCGCGTGCTGCGTCTCGTCGTTCCCGCGGCCTTCCCCAGCGAGAGACGGCGAGCCGACGCGGGGCCTTGCGCGAGAGGAAAGGCGTTTGGAAGGCACGCGAGGGGGGCCGGGCGGAGAAGCGCGGCGGATGCCATCTCGGAAAATGCGGAGTGCGCAATGCGCAAAGCGGAGTGCGCGGAGAGTGAGGAGCGGGGTTGGATGTGCGAAGCGTGGAAATTGCGAGGCGGGTACGAGGAGAAAACACGTGGATAAGGCTGGGTGTGGTGCTTTCGACTGGAAAGCTGGAAACCTGGAAGGAAAACAGGGGCAGCGTGGCAAATACGCGGGAGGAGCGTGTGATGGGCGAGAGAATTCTAATTCTCGTCTCGATTCCGGAAAAGTGGGGTGGGGGTGTTCTGTTCTATTGCGATACTGCAAGCACTGGAAAGAACGTGTACAGCTTCACAATAGCGGATCACGCCTCAGCGCAATGATACTCAAGCGCATGACGAAGTGTACTATAACATTCTTTCTTGAATATACCAATAATAATATTCGTTCACGCTACTGCATTGTAACAAGATATCACAAGCCATGCATGTTGTGCAGGATCACTAACCGCTTTTATCTTTTTCATTGTCCGCGTTAGAATTCATTTACCGCTCCTCGAACGAGATCAAAACCCTGAATTTTATCTTTTTCACTTCAACTACGGTCGCCAGGAACTTGGTGGGAGGAAAGCCTTTGCCGGGCTTGTTGGCGATCAGAAGAATCTTCCACCTGGTAGCTCCGGTTTTACTGTCAAACGTTTGAGATGCTGAAGACACAAACACGAACTGGAGGTTTGTTGCCTGTAATTCCCATAGCATAGGGAGAGGGAGAGAGGGGGAGAGGTAGAGAGGTAGAGGGGGAGAGAGGTAGAGGGGGAGAGAGGGAGAGGAGGGAGAAGGGGAGAGGAGAGAGAGAGGAAGAGGAGTGAGCGGGTGTGAGTGCCTGAGTGTGATGCTCCACCTGCATCAGAACGTCAATGGGTGTGCGCTTGCGTGCGTGCGTGAAAGGATGCGTCAGGTTCATGGGTAATCAGTATAGATGGGCAAGATAAGGTACAGAATGAGTACTGCAATCTTGTGTACCGTGGATTCTGTACCAAAAATATATAAGAATAAAAATAAGAAGCACCATTGTAACAGATCGGACCACCTCCAAAGCAGAATTCCTCTCTGGGATGTGGGAGTACCTGTGGCTGTTGTTGCCTGTCACAAAATAACCCATCCAGCTTTATCTTTCCACCGACGTTTCAACATAGTCAGGTGTAACATACCTTTCGCTTGTTATTCTCAGCCACTGCAAACTTCGCCAGATCCTGAACTTCAGCTCTGTTGGCTGCTACTTCCACCTCAGGCAAGCCGTCATCAGCCGCGAGCGCGCGCGGCATGCAGATGAGTGAAGAGATGACGACGATGGCGATTGTAACATTCACGAAGAGGAGAGTTGCACGAGCCATGGCGGGCAAAGGTTCTGGTTACTACCAGCTACGGATCAAGAAACGGTCTGAGATCGGAACGGAATGAAGCAAAGAAATGTAAAGCCGCAGAGGTTGCTTGGTGTGTGATTGGTGTCGCCTTTTGTACATCGCGCCTTCTTGCCAGTGACAACAAAATCGAACGAAACGCGGCTGAAGTTAGCACCGCACGAGGCCAATAGCAAAGATCTCGAGACGCGAACTGGCAAGCAACGTTGCTGCCGAAACGACGTTTTCCCCGCCGAAATTATTGGAAGGGGGCTTCGACGAGTCATCCTAGGCGAGCGCCAATACGCCCGAGCGAAGGCTTTCCTGGGGAAGGAGGGGAAGGGTTTCCCCGCGAAGCAGGTGATGGTTGCCTGTCGCTTTCATCCCCTCGTGTTCCCTCCGATGTCTCCCTGCTCTAGCGCCGTCCCCGCAAGGCTGAAAGAGCGGGCGGCAAGATGACGATCAAACGTAAGCTGCGATTCCAGACCAGACTGATCATTCTTGACCCTGCGACACGAATACTAAAATTGTGTGCGACTCTCGTGGCAGGTATTATGCCTGCAGGTATATTTGTGCCTGGCGCGATTTGCCCCAGGTGTTGCCTGTTCTCGAGGTATACCACGCCTCACACTCGTTCACCTGATCCGCTGTGTGCGACCCCCTTCCCTGCCCTCATTGAGTTACTTTCACGAAAGGAAGTGTCACTTGGATATTCGATCGTCAGAGTTCAATTTGGTATGAGTCTCCCAAGCTCCCAGCGACAAACAGATTCCCTACGTGAAACTAACAAACTCTTCGCGACTTCTTACAAAAAGAAAGGACAGGGGACAGGGATTCTTTGAACGCGCATTCGTTTCAGGGCTACAAGCAAAAGCAGTGAATCGGAAAAGGTGGCTAACAGGCAGGGGCGTTCCGAGAATAGAACTCGGGACCTCGCGCACCCGAAGCGAGAATCATACCTCTTCATTGACACTATAATAAATGTACAATGGATACAAGACAAATCCAAGCATCTAGTGTATGGAAAGACATGCAGGCTAATCCTATTGTGAGGCCTACAAATAGGCCTCTGAGATGTCTCAGTGGTCCTCTCCAAAGTAGGCAAGGCAAAGTCAGCTGCAGAAAGAGAAGTCACCTCGGGTGGTGCGTGGTTGACGCCCTCGGTAAAACGAATTTGTGCACGACGACAAACAGTGCGAGACTGCTCACGTTGATGGACCAGAGAAATCCGTTTGTAGAAGTTGGTCTCAAACAGCAGGGGAAGGAAATCTGTAGCACCACTCAAGTCACGGAGTTGTGAAGCCCCTTTGCGGCTGCATTGGCGTAGGAAATTGTTGAACGATGAGCCCAAGCAACCGAAGGTTTCGATGACAAGGGGAAACAGTTTGACGTCTGGACGGTCACGAAGTGCTGCAGCATAGTGGGTGGTCTTCTCACTTTCACGAGTGGCTGCTGCTGAACCAATCACCGTAGCTGCGTTGGAGTGTGGAAACCCCTTTTGTGGATCAGCAATAGAAACATCCAAGGCCCAGGTGGTACCAGAGCTAATGTCGCGGCACGTGATGTCTGTGCGGCGGCCAGGCAGGAGATGCTGGTCTTCCATCTGCGCAGAGAACCCAAGCTCCAAGGCAATGCGATGAACTTCTCGTTTGATTGCGTCGTGCACCTTAGTAGGCTCGTTGTTGCTAGGGCAGCGAAGGACGTGAGAATGGATGGAAGGATCGGTGAACGGGGAGTTGCAGGTGCAGGTGAGTGAAGATGAAAGGTGAGGAAGAGGAAGGCCTAAGCGGATAGCTCCTGCAATGCGCCACTCGGTCTCTGAAAGCTGCATGTGCGGGGAGGATGGAGCCACAGTGAGCCAGTCACCTGCATGCGGGCCCTGCAAAGAGGTTAGACGAGCAAGGCGAAGCGGGGACGTTACTGTGGCTCGAACCTTCTCCAGCAAATCGGCTTCGAGGTGTTGGGAGAGGTGAGTAAAGAGTTTAGGAGGGTAGCCCGATTGAAGCACAGGCCATGATGGGAAGCGGTCACGAATGTCTTGGGGAAGCATGGTCATGGTAGATGAGATTGAAGGGTCGAGGAGGTTAATGGAGTCCGTGGTGACGTAAGGGCGGAAAAGAGGAGCACCATCAGTGATGAAGTGGGTGGATAGGGTCGAAACTGCCTGCGCCCAGCTGCAAAGGTAACTGAGGGGGGCGATGGATGCAGAGCTGCGAATGCCGAAGCCACCTAAGCGGATAGGGAGCGAGGCTTGGAGGCGGGCCGATGTGGACCGTTCAGAGGTGGGATTCCAGTACTCGGAGCCCAGGAGCTGAGAGAAGTGGCTGAAAATCGTGCTGTCCCATGAAGAGAGTAGCTCTTGGATTTCGGGAAAAGGTGCGACAGTTCTGAGGAGGAAAGAAGGTCGGGCAGTGATGCATAAGGAAAGGATCCGTGAGGCAATCTGTGGGTCCTGCAGTTGATGCAGTAAAAGGAGGGAGGTAGTGAAAGAATCGAGCTTGTCACGAACTGTAGAGATGATGAAACCGTCTGAGCCGGTGGGAACTCCAGCCACAGTGAGACCGTTTGCAGCGATGGAAATACCCGGGGGCGGAATGCAGTGTTCGGGCAAGTCCATAGGGGCCCATAGAGAGCACTTAGAGGGTTGGACAGTAAGGCCAAGAGAGAGAAGGCGGGAGGTAAGGTCATTGTATGCGGAAAAGACGTCTGAGGGAGGGCCGACCAAGTAGGTATCGTCTGCGTATGAGGTAACGAAAATTGAGGGAGACTGTTGCTGGGTTGGTTGGATGGCTAGCTGCTGTGTTAGGGCGTAAAGAAAAGGGCCACAAGGGTCGCCTTGACGAACACCAGAAGCTGACTGGAATGTGTGGAGAAGGGGGCCGCTGCGGTAGTGGAGAGGTGAAGGGGTGGAGTAGAATAGGCGGAAGAATGGAATGAGACTAGAGAATGGGGAGCGCCTTAATGCCTCAAACATGGAAACCCGGTTGAATGAGTTGAACGCGTTTGCAACGTCCAGCTGAAGCACCACCCAGTCTGGATGAAGGGAGAAGGCGGAGCACACTGCGTGCGACATAATCTCGATCCCGGCCGGAACTGCTACGCCAAATTGAAGGTGAGGAAGGAATGTCTCTCGCATCTGCTGCTTGAAAAGGAGAGTGATGCAGCGTGAAAGGAGGCGTGGTAGCACTTCCCCAATGGCGATGGGACGTACACTACCATGCGGTTTCTGTAGGGCCACGAGGTTCGAAGCGGTGTAGAAAGGCCTGACTGCAAGTGGAAGATCACCCTGCAGCCAGTTCTGGAATACGTGGAGGAGAGAAGGGAGATGCTGCTGGTGAGAGAGAAACGTGTCCCTGAGGTGCTCAATGAACCACCCAGAAGGTCCAGCAGCTGTGCCACGGGGGGCGGACTGTAGAGCGGCCTGGAGAACAGGGACAGTAAGCTGTGGTGCGGCTGTAGGAGTGAAGCTGTGTACCCAGTCAGGAATTTCTGCTGCAGCAGGTGGGTGCTTGGAGCTGAGGGCAGCAACCGTTTCTGATGATGGAGGAGCTAGCTCGCCAGCTTCCAGTGCTGCCAGTGAACGTGACCAGTCCCCGCATTTCGCAAACCGTTTCGCACGGTTGAGACGAGCCTGCAGCGCCGTAGAACGTGCCGATGCCATGTGCAGAGGTCTGGCGGCTGGAGTGGCTGCAGCTACGGCTTCACTGAAAAGATACTGCCAGTCACCATTGATGAAGCGGCGCGCTAAGGAGGCACATGAAGAGGTAAGGGACTGCGTGGGAGCAGCGGTGGATGGTAGGCGCAGCAAGAGACGCGGAAATGCCAAGAGAATGAGGTGTGCAGCGTCGTCAGAAGGATGCTGTGCAAGGCGGCGCAGTGGAATGAGAAGTGCATCGAGAATGAGGAGTCGGATGCGGGAGGGGATTCGGCGGAGAATAGGGCCAGGTGAGACTGCTGGGCTGAAGAAGGAAGGCCAATCCCAGGAAGGAACGGCCTCCCAAGTGGCTTGAGGAATTGCAGGTCGATCTACGGCTGCAGGCGCCGAGGTTGGGGCTGATGAGCGGGGAGGAGGAGGCCGAGCAGCTTGCTGACGTGTGGCGGTGTTGCGAGAGCAGGCTGGAAGGTGACGGGCCAGCGAACCTGAGTTGGCAAAGGTGCGTCGACATGTGGGGCAAGAATTAGGAGGTAGTGGGTTATCGGAGGTTGATGAGGGCGTGCAGGGTTGCGGGCATGGCTGCGTAGCGTGAGGGGTAGGGGAAGGAGGAGGGGGATCTCGAGAAGGTGAAGCAGCAGTTTCATAGTGTGATAGTGGGTGCGTGTTGTCGGCAGGGGCTGTGGGATCAGGAGCATCTGCTGTAGTCGTCGGTGGAGGTGTTGAGGTAGATGAAAGATGGGCACGGGAAGTCGAGGGCTGAGGGTGAGAGGTTTGAGGCCGTGATGGAGACGGAGAATCAGGAAGGGTGGCTTTAAGGACCTGCTGGAGAATCTCCTTTTGTTTCTCCGAGACAATTTTTGGCGCTGCTGTTGGCTGAGGTTGCTGGGAGGGAGCAGAAGATGATTGAGGCTTAGGAGTAGGGGGTGGTGCAGGGTTTGATGAGGAGGTCGAAAGAATCGCGAAGGCTGGAGTTTGTCGCGAACGGGCAGGCGGACGAGGAGAAGTGGGTTCAGAGTCTTGGGCAGCACGGCCCCTTTTGCGGCCTGTCATTCTGTAAGGTATTGGGCTGGTGGCATGCAAAATGATGTTGGAGGTAAAGGAAGCATAACAAATGAGGTGGAAAGTGTAGTCTTTGTTTCAAGGAAGAAGTTGGTGTAGCGAGGAAGGTCACAAAAAGTGGCTGGGGAGAAGCACAAGCGCGGATGTGAGGTTGGCAAAGTGGCGGGAAGTTGGGTTGGTGGGGGGAGGCGAAAATGCACGTCGGGGGAAGGGGGGGTTCGCAAATCTGTTGTTCGTGCAGCAGGAGGTAGAAACTGATGACGGCACCGTGCTATCCACTGCTGCTCAACACAAAGCTCAAGCCACGCCGTTGCAAGGAAGACTCCACTCTGCGCCGTGCGCTAATTGCTTGCCAGATAAGCCCTAGTTTCGTATCAACGTGCGCCAACACCGACACGGTAGATCCACGATTGTAGTTTCGATCGGCTCGTCGCGTCAAGGGTGTCGCGGATTGCTAGCAAGTCGTGGCTCAAATGTACGAGTATAAAAGAAGATGCAAGGTTGCTGATTTCGCCCTTTTAGCGGAGAGTAGTGAGCTTAGCAGCTTTACTTGAGCGAGCAGCTTAGCGAACTACTACGAGGAGCGTACTAGCGCTTTTTATAGGAGCTGCAGCGAGCTTGAGTGACAACGAAGCAAACTACTACGAGGAGCGTACTAGCGCTTTTTATAGGAGCTGCAGCGAGCTTGAGTGACAACGAAGCAAACTACTACGAGGAGCGTACTAGCGCTTTTTATAGGAGCTGCAGCGAGCTTGAGTGACAACGAAGCAAACTACTACGAGGAGCGTACTAGCGCTTTTTATAGGAGCTGCAGCGAGCTTGAGTGACAACGAAGCAAACTACTACGAGGAGCGTACTAGCGCTTTTTATAGGAGCTGCAGCGAGCTTGAGTGACAACGAAGCAAACTACTACGAGGAGCGTACTAGCGCTTTTTATAGGAGCTGCAGCGAGCTTGAGTGACAACGAAGCAAACTACTACGAGGAGCGTACTAGCGCTTTTTATAGGAGCTGCAGCGGGCTTGAGTGACAACGAAGCAAACGCCCACATTTCGATACTAAACCTTTTTTTTCAACAACTTTTTTAAATACGTATACCTTCTCTAAAACCACTTTATTTCTAAAACAGGAAACTTGATATTTTCCAATTCATTGATCTGATAAAAGAGAAAAGATTGATACTACCGTAGCTACCATTGGTACACGTGTGTAAGGCGAATCCTAGTGATGGCATGTGCCTAGTGTGATCGAGTACAAAATGTGGAACACTGTACTACCAAATCACGTCCTTTTCGGAACTCTCGCGTCGCTCTCATGTTATGAACTTAGTAGGCTCGCGGCGATGCGGGTGAATGCGCCGCAAACGAATATTTGGCCCACCGCTTAATGCAGAAACCATGTGCTCGAAAAGATACCGTGAAACATATATCCTTAGAGCCTCCTACGGCACTCCCGCGGGTTGAGCTTTCATGCTCGCATTCTCCGTCGCTGCCGTCCCGTCCATCGCATGGACTGATGCTGCTGCTGCTGCTGCTGCTGCTGCTGCCGCGGCTGCGGATTCAGCTCGTATTCTCCTCGATCGCACGGTGTTGACGAAACATCCGATGACGAAAACAGCGATCACTGCGACGAATGCTGAGACGCTGACGATGATTACGGACTTCACCGTGGGAGACACGCCCCACGCAGTACCTCCGGCTTCGCTCGTCGCCGACATTCTCCGAGTGGGCTGGAAAAGCCGCGCTCAGCCGAAATGCGACGAATTCTGAGGCCCTTCAAGAATGAAGAGACAAAAATGGCTGCAGCCTCTGGGAATGGGTAGGATAGTGCTAACCTAAATCCAGGAATCGTTGTCGACTACGCTGCAGGTCTCGTGCCGAAACACAGCAGCAGATTAGGGCGAAACTTCGTGTCGTGGTGTTGCTAACCGAATATCGTTTTAAAATTCGTCTGTCGAGAAATCATCCTCTCGTTCTACCAGGCTCTGTGGCAGTTCGCGCCATTACTGCTGAAATCTGACCAGCGCGAAACTCGATCAAAGGAGCAGCGAGCGACGACACGCTCCAAACGAAGTCACTAAAAGAATTGCGTTTGCAGTAAACCGAAGATCGGAATGAGCGCATGGCGGCGAGTTTCATGGCACTAGATGTGCGTGAGCGCAATTCGCGGCGCCACGGCAGAGAGAAGAGACAAAGTGATTTGAGAGGCGAAACGGCAAACAGTGGGCTCGCGCGGAGGAAACCCCGAGCTCACGATTATTGGTGCGGAGCGGAAATGGTTTGTTTCGATTCGGAGTAGCTCGAGGAATTTTTGAGATGTCTCGAATCCCGAACAACTCGAAGAAGGTGTGCAAGTCTGATAAAAGGCTATTATTTCAACAAGCGCTTGATTTGCAGTGGTACGCCAAACACTGCAAAACATGTATTCTCTGCAAGTGAACATAAGGACGCGTCACAAGTGAAACACCGATCCTGCACAAGATCCTTCCTCGGTTTTTCAAATGTGACGCGTCCTAAGGGTACATTCCTGCGGGGACACTTGTGTCTCAATCACTTTGTGACATCTAAAAACAGCATATACCGTGCCCTGTCACAAACGCGGATCGCGCTTATGCGAGTCCCACTGTATTTTACATTGGTTGGCGTGAATTGCGCTTGTGTCGCGGACGAGTTACACGAGGCCCCGTCACATCCCGAAAATCGCACGCGTGTCGAAATCTCACACTGTACAGCATGCACCTGGACGCCCGAACTGGGCACGTTTTCGCGCGGGGATGGAAACCGCTCTGCCCGGGCTGACATATGACTGGTCCTTCAGCACACACGGTCACATCCCTGCCCGAATGTTTGCACATCGTTCCAACCACACTGACAGCACTCTCCCACTCCAATCTGTTCTTCTTCTCCCAACCCGAGCTTCCTCTTTCTTGTTGCGAAGTCTAGCCAGGGTCTTCTTTGGCACGCTGTAGCCATGGCCCGTAAGCGCAAGAGCGTAGCTAGTTCTGTTGACTTGTGCCCGCGGGATCTCGACGAGATCCCGTACATCGCTTGGATGAACAAACAAATCGCGGCCGGCCGCAAGCCCGCCGGCCCTTTGCCCGAAGGAGCGCCTGGTGCGGGGGACACCTCGTTCGAAGCCCCGCGCGATGTCCCTACCCGCGGACGCCGTCATGCCGACCGGATTGCCTCATCCCGCGTCAACGACGATGCTGCCTTCGATGACGATGATGACGCCGCGGACTCTGATTACAACGAGTGCGACGAGGCCTGCGAAGACGACGCGGACTCTGGCGAGGAGCAGGACAAGGGCATGTCCCCCTCCGAGGATGAAGTTGACGCCGACGAGGACGCCGATGACGACGAGGACGCTCCCGAAGAGGCCCAGCCTGCGTCCCCGGCTCCTCGTCGCGGCCGTGCGTCTGCCGCTGCGGGAACCAAGACTGCTGCTAAGGGTGGGGAACCTCCGCGTGCCGCTGCCAAGACCCGTAACTTGCATCCTGTTAAGCGGAGCGTGTGGTCCCCCCGCGAGAACACAATCTTCGTGGCTGCGCGTTGGTTCATGAAGGACGAGCTCGGGCCCCTCCTCGGGAAGCAGGGCTCTCATTACTGGGCCCGCCTCGCGCGTCACCTCGAGAAGGAGAATCCCGGTTGGGTGCGCGGTGTAAACGCGCTTCAGAAGCAGTGGCGCAATCTTGTGAACATGTACAAGCAGATCAAGAAGGGGGAAAAGGCGAGCGGCAAGGGTGCCGTGTGCAAGCCCCACTGGTACCCGTACATGGCGCTTTTCCAGAACAACAAGGCGGTGGGCAACCCTCACGCCGTCGACGGTGGCGATGCGGCACACGTCAACGTGCCGTGCGGGTACGCGGTCCCGTCCACTTCGGCGCCCTGCACCTCTACGCCGACATTCACTGGTATGTATGTGTTGCATCAACGGTGGCACTCGCGGGTTTGTTGAATGACACATTTTGTGACAACATTTTATGCACACATTACATCATTAAAATGTTTAGGGTACATAACACCTCGTCTACTGTTCGTGTGCATCCACCGTGTGTGCAGCTCCGCCGCCACAGGGAACTCCTACATCGAAGCGCCCACGTGTGGCAGAGACGGCGACGATGGCCGCTGCAAAGCTGGTGTGCGAGACGATCAAAGGCTGCCACTCAGACGCCATGAGCAGGCTCGAAGGCCTCGTCCGCGCGTGGATGGATCAGGACGCGCGTATTGCTCGGGAACGCGTGCAGCAGCCCGCACCCTCCCCGCATGTCCACGACGACATCCCTGCCCACGCGGACAACATGACCGACTCGCACGCCGCCGAAGGCGGCGACGACGGCTGGCTTCGTCGCGGGCAGGCGGGCGAAGACCCCTCTAACCCAGATGCGGGTGAGGAGGTGTGGGTGCGCGGCGCCGCCGAGTGAGGTAAGACGACTCCAGAGCCTCGCCCAGCCGCTTGCGCCTTTCACGAAGATTCTCTTGCGTGCATGGGTCACATGGCTCCCACATGAACTCTGCTACCGCGCCACGAGTCCACCATGGGTCCCGGTTTCGGGGCAAGTTTGCCCACGATGCATTGACGCGCCTTACTGCGCCCATCATTTCGCACATGTTGTGCAGGATGACGCCACAAGACGCCCCTGCAAGAATGCGCCAGAGCTTGCAGTCATTGCGGCCCGCGAATAGACGCCACCGGCCTTTGAAGGCGCCGATGCAGCGCTCTACTGCCATGCGCGTTGCGCTTTGGCAATAGTTAAAGCACTGCTCCCAGTCCTCCATTAGGCCTTCACGGGGAGCATGTAGGGGGGTCAGGCAGAAGTCTCTGAGTGGGTAGGCAGCATCTCCCACTATTTGGTATGGCGCTATGTCGCCGTTGTACAACCTTTCGTGTAACGCGCTGTTCATGAACACTCTCTGATCGTGCGCACTGCCCGGGTATCCGATCAAATAGTCCCATATGATGCCTCGCGCGTCGCATGTGATCTGCAACTGGACGGCGTAACAGGACTTCCGCGTGTAGTACTCTTGCCTGTGCCCCTCCATCCCCTTCATGGGTATGTGTGTGCCGTCTATAGCCCCCACTACCGCAGGTACCCCCTTGATGGCGCGGAACTCTGCGGCCATCTCGTCGAGGTCGTCGCGGGTCGGGAAGTGGACCCACTGCTGCTTGAAGACGGACGGGAAATGCATGAGGAGCGCGTCAACAAGCATGTGGCACAGGGTCTTGGACAGCCCGAACACGGAGGACAAGTCTACGAAAGACATGCCACTTGCGAGGTATTTGATAGGTACAAGGCATGCCACTTCATGACTGATTAGGTACCTGTCCACGTACGGTTGCATGTAGTGCGTCATCCTGGCGACAATGTATTCGAGAATGCCACGGTTTATGCGAAACATATCTCTGAACTGATCCTCCCCCATGCCGTCCTGGTCCTCTAGCAGCAACTGGTATCTCCGCCGGCGTAGCCCAGCCCTTCGTTTCCGCTCTGCGGTACGGTTGGAGGCGCGAGAGCTGGATGACGAGGACACCTCGTCATTGAAGACGTTCGCCTCCAGCAAGCCACCGACCGACTTGGCGATGGCGTCCATGAATATGCTGTAGTAGAACGTAACCCATGCGACAAGTAGGCGCATGAAGAATGGCACCAAGCGGGGCGATGCCATGGTTGCTAGACAGTGGTGCAGTTTAGCTCTGTGATGCTTGCGTTTTTGTACTTGGAGCCGTGGTTGTATACATGCTGTTGTGTGTGGGGTGGCCCAAATTGCAACTTTCATTTCTGTGGCAAGCCCACCGCGATACTCGAGGTGGTGCGATATGTTTAGCCCCCCTGCCCGGCGGGAAAACTGGGTGGGCACAATCCTATTGGTCGCAACCAATAGTACGCACCCACCTGGCTGTGCCCATCTGTCGCGCAGGGTCGCGATACATTGGTTGTTTGTGACACAACATTTGGCAAATTTACAGGCGCGACTCGGGAAAACGGGGATTGAGACACAAGTGTCCCCACAGGAATGTACCCTAAGTTTAACAAGCGCGTTTGGCTACTATTCAGAGGCTCCACCATTCCCATCCACCGCACCTCCTTCAGCCGCCTGGCCTCCCTTCCGCCGTCTCCTCTGCCTCTTTTTTGGCCCTGCTCCATCCATCCCTTGTCTCTTTCCTTCACTCCCCACTCCCCCTGCTGGGCGGGCCTTCTTCTTGCATGATAGAGGGTTGGGTCCCTGTGGTGTGGAAGGGTGCGGTATACAAGAAGTACATATTTATGTCAACTAGGAAATCGCTGTGCCTCCTCCCTTCACTCCCCGCCCCTCCTGCTGAGCAGGCCTTCTTCTTGCACGGAGCAGGTGAGTTTCGAAACGCTTTAAAACAGATGCCTCACAACAAACCTGCTTGCGTTGCGGTTCAGAGTGTGGGTCCCTGTGGTGCGAAAGGGCCTGGATCAGATCAGAAGACGTACAATTTTTCCAGCGACAGTGAGTGCAGGGACAGTGAGAATGTAGGAAGAGTTCAAGCATGTCTCCTGTTCCTTGCGGCCACACCCCCCTCACACCCTCACACAGATACTCTTCGTCCCTCACTCACTCTCTCACCTGCATTCATTTCCACTACCACTCAGCATCAGCCGCTTCAGTTTGAACTTGCCCCAGTGCTTCAGTTTGAACTTGCCCCAGTGCTTCAGTTTGAACTTGCCCCAGTGCTTCAGTTTGAACTTGCCCCAGTGCTTCCCATACCCCACCTTGTTTCCACTCGGGCTCGACTTTTGCCTAGACTAGAAAAACCACGTCGTTCCCTCTCACACTCTCACACTCTCACACTCGTTTCTGCTTAAATTTGCCCCTGCCCTTCACATACCCTAGCTGCTTCACCCCTCACCCTCCTCGTAGAACCCATAACCATCTCCGCACACATTCACACTCACACTCTCACCTTCACCGCGCTTCCGTTTGAACGTGGCCCTGTCCTTCACATACCCAAGACGCTTTCACTAATGTCCCTCCTCCAAATCGTACCCATACCATGTGCATACGCATTCGCACCCGCATTCTCACCTTCACTCGCTTCCGTTTGAACTTGGCCCGGTCCTTCACATACCCCAGCCGCTTCCACTCCAGCTTCCTCTCCTCTCCCTCCTCCTCCGAATCATATCCATACCCATACGCATCTGCATTTGAATTTACCCCTCCTGCCCCCCCGACCCCCTCCTCCACCCCTTCACCACCTGCCCCATCCCTCCCTTCTCCCTCACTCCCAGAAACACCCTCCCCCTCGCCTCCTCCCTCTACTCCCGTTTCTGCTTTTCTCTCGCTCCCAGCAACATCGCCTCGCTGCCTCGTCCTGTCGACGACTGTAGGAACAAGCCCTTTCTGTGTCTCCTCGATTCGTTTCTTTCGCTTGGCTGCCCGCGCCAGCAGCAGCTGCTGCTGCTCGTGTTCGGGCAGCCCGAGCCGGGCAGATTCGGATTTCTTGGAAAGGGAGAGGTCGAGAGGAGAGGGCGGCTCGAGGGAGATTGATGTCCCATTGGCTGAGATGATTGGCACTGCTGGCACCTGCGCGGGGTGGGGAGGAATGAAGGAGAGGGTTGAGTGGGGTGCAGGGAAGGAGGCAAGAAGGGGGTGGGGACAGTGCTTGCTTACGAGAAGAAAAAGAAGTAAATCAGACACCCTTAGGTTTCTTGCAAAGAAAAGGGCAAAAGAATGGAAATGGAAGGATGTGTGGAAATTTGAGTTAAAAAAAGGAAAAGATTAAGGGTGGGGGGAAGGACGGTCGAGGAGGATGGGATGTGCAGTGCAGTGGCGACATCTGGAGACTTCACAAACGTCTGGGCAATTCACAAAGAGTCTCTGGATTCAATACTAGGAATGCCAGGAATTGGTGAATTGACACTACGAACCGAGAGGGAAATCGAAGAGAAGAGCGAACATGCACAAGGAAATTCGAAGAGAAGAGCTGCACCTGAAGAAAACATGCATGTTAAATTTTAAGCTGACTGAAAAGACAAACCAAGAGGGAAACCCCCGAAGAGAAGAGAAGAGAAGAGCTGCACGTGGAGAAGAGCTGCACGTGGAGAAGAGCTGCACGTGGAGAAGAGCTGCACGTGGAGAAGAGCTGCACGTGGAGAAGAGCTGCACGTGGAGAAGAGCTGCACGTGGAGAAGAGCTGCACGTGGAGAAGAGCTGCACGTGGAGAAGAGCTGCACGTGGAGAAGAGCTGCACGTGGAGAAGAGCTGCACGTGGAGAAGAGCTGCACGTGGAGAAGAGCTGCACGTGGAGAAGAGCTGCACGTGGAGAAGAGCTGCACGTGGAGAAGAGCTGCACGTGGAGAAGAGCTGCACGTGGAGAAGAGCTGCACGTGGAGAAGAGCTGCACGTGGAGAAGAGCTGCACCTGGAGAAGAGCTGCACCTGGAGAAGAGCTGCACGTGGAGAAGAGCTGCACGTGGAGAAGAGCTGCACGTGGAGAAGAGCTGCACCTGGAGAAGAGCTGCACCTGGAGAAGAGCTGCACGTGGAGAAGAGCTGCACCTGGAGAAGAGCTGCACGTGGAGAAGAGCTGCACCTGGAGAAGAGCTGCACGTGGAGAAGAGCTGCACCTGGAGAAGAGCTGCACCTGGAGAAGAGCTGCACGTGGAGAAGAGCTGCACCTGGAGAAGAGCTGCACGTGGAGAAGAGCTGCACCTGGAGAAGAGCTGCACGTGGAGAAGAGCTGCACGTGGAGAAGAGCTGCACGTGGAGAAGAGCTGCACGTGGAGAAGAGCTGCACGTGGAGAAGAGCTGCACGTGGAGAAGAGCTGCACGTGGAGAAGAGCTGCACGTGGAGAAGAGCTGCACGTGGAGAAGAGCTGCACGTGGAGAAGAGCTGCACGTGGAGAAGAGCTGCACGTGGAGAAGAGCTGCACGTGGAGAAGAGCTGCACGTGGAGAAGAGGTGCACGTGGAGAAGAGCTGCACGTGGAGAAGAGCTGCACGTGGAGAAGAGCTGCACGTGGAGAAGAGCTGCACGTGGAGAAGAGCTGCACGTGGAGAAGAGCTGCACGTGGAGAAGAGCTGCACGTGGAGAAGAGCTGCACGTGGAGAAGAGCTGCACGTGGAGAAGAGCTGCACGTGGAGAAGAGCTGCACGTGGAGAAGAGCTGCACGTGGAGAAGAGCTGCACGTGGAGAAGAGCTGCACGTGGAGAAGAGCTGCACGTGGAGAAGAGCTGCACGTGGAGAAGAGCTGCACGTGGAGAAGAGCTGCACGTGGAGAAGAGCTGCACGTAGAGAAGAGCTGCACGTGGAGAAGAGCTGCACCTGGAGCTGCACGTGGAGAAGAGCTGCACGTGGAGAAGAGCTGCACGTGGAGAAGAGCTGCACGTGGAGAAGAGCTGCACGTGGAGAAGAGCTGCACGTGGAGAAGAGCTGCACGTGGAGAAGAGCTGCACGTGGAGAAGAGCTGCACGTGGAGAAGAGCTGCACGTGGAGAAGAGCTGCACGTGGAGAAGAGCTGCACGTGGAGAAGAGCTGCACGTGGAGAAGAGCTGCACGTGGAGAAGAGCTGCACGTGGAGAAGAGCTGCACCTGGAGCTGCACGTGGAGAAGAGCTGCACGTGGAGAAGAGCTGCACCTGGAGCTGCACGTGGAGAAGAGCTGCACGTGGAGAAGAGCTGCACGTGGAGAAGAGCTGCACGTGGAGAAGAGCTGCACGTGGAGAAGAGCTGCACCTGGAGCTGCACGTGGAGAAGAGCTGCACGTGGAGAAGAGCTGCACGTGGAGAAGAGCTGCACCTGGAGCTGCACGTGGAGAAGAGCTGCACGTGGAGAAGAGCTGCACGTGGAGAAGAGCTGCACGTGGAGAAGAGCTGCACGTGGAGAAGAGCTGCACGTGGAGAAGAGCTGCACGTGGAGAAGAGCTGCACGTGGAGAAGAGCTGCACGTGGAGAAGAGCTGCACGTGGAGAAGAGCTGCACGTGGAGAAGAGCTGCACGTGGAGAAGAGCTGCACGTGGAGAAGAGCTGCACGTGGAGAAGAGCTGCACGTGGAGAAGAGCTGCACGTGGAGAAGAGCTGCACGTGGAGAAGAGCTGCACCTGGAGAAGAGCTGCACGTGGCATCTCTGTGCCATCTTTGACTAGAAAATGGGCCCGGACGAACCTTCTTGAGAAGCTTCTTGAATTCAATGTCCTGCGAGGCCACGAAGAAGTGCTGCTGGTTAGCACCCGCCACGAGATGCTGTATGCACTCCGATGCCGTCACTGCCTCGTCGCCCTCATGCGTGCACCTGAAAGGGGAGAGAGGGGGCAACGGAGGGATGAATGATGGGGAGAATGGCTACTGAATGCTGGTTACCACCACCTGACCTGATACCACCTGCCACGAGGCGCTGGATGGGCTCTGATGCCCTCTGATCCTGTTTAGGCATACCTAGGCATCCTTGGCACGTGGCATACCTGGCGACCTCCAGCTGGCGGGCAGCAAAGCGCGTGTCCTTGAAAGCATCCCCCAGGCGCTGCAGCTCCGCCAAAATGCACCTGCGGGAAGGAGGGGGGGGGGGGGGGAGGGAGAAGGATCAGAGGGTGAAGAGAGGAGAGAGGGAGAGCAGCATGGAGAGGAGGTAAGGAAGTCCTTGAAGGCGTCCTCCAGGCGCTGCAGCTCCGCCAAAATGCACCTGCGGGAAGGGGGGGGGTTGGGGGAGGGGGTTTGGGTGGTGGGGAAAGGTGAGGGGCGGGGGAATGAGAGGGGGGCAGGCGGAACATCGTGTCATGGGGAGAGGAGAGAAGTCCTTGAAGGCGCCCCGCCCGCCCGGTGACTTCTGAGTCGACTCAGAAGCTACAATGGGGGCCATCAGCAAGTCTTCCCACGAAGAGCAAGGAGAAAAAGCATTAAAGCTGCCCCCCAGGCGCTGCAGCTCCGCCAGAGTGCATCTGCGGAGGGGGGGGGACAGAAAGAGGGGGGGAATGAGAGGGGGGCAGGCGGAATGTCCTGTCATGGAGAGGAGAGGAGAGGAGGCATTGACGGCGTCCCCTGGGCGCTGCAGCTCCGCCAGAATGCCACCTGCGCGCCTTTTAAAGTGCCTCAAAAGGCGCTCACCTAGCCCTGTAGCTCTGCCAATGTGCCACCTGCGCGCCTTTTGAGGAGAGGAGAGGATCATCGGGGGGGTGGGAGGCAGGGAGATGATCGGATGGAGCACAGTGAGGCAGGGAGATGAGAGCGGGGGCGTCTCCCTCTCTCTCTGAGAGGGATGAGGGGGACGGTGGCGAAAAGTCCCCCCACGGAGAGGAGAGGAGAGGAGAGGAGAGGAGAGGAGAGGAGAGGAGAGGAGAGGAGAGGATAGGATAGGAGAGGAGAGGAGAGGAGCGGAGAGGAGAGGAGAGGAGAGGAGAGGAGAGGAGAGGAGAGGAGAGGAGAGGAGAGGAGAGGAGAGGAGGCCTTGACGGCGTCCCCCCGGCGCTGCAGCTCCGCCAGAATGCCACCCGCGGAGGGGGGGGGGAGAGAAAGAGGGGGAGGGATGAGAGGGGGGCAGGCGGAATGTCCTGTCATGGAGAGGAGAGGAGAGGAGGCATTGACGGCGTCCCCCCGGCGCTGCAGCTCCGCCAGAATGCCACCTGCGCGCCTTTTGAGGCGCCTCAAAACGCGCCCCCCTAGCGCTGTAGCTCTGCCAGAATGCACCTGCCAGGGGGGGAGGGGAGGGGGAGGAATTCAGAGGGATCGAGGGCAGTGAGGGAGGGGGAGAGATGAGGTAAGAGGGAGAGGGGAGGGGATGCGAAGAGACATGATATGAGTGACTTTTTGGGACGACTCAAAAAAGTCACTCATATCTCGAGGGGCGAGGTGGAAGAGAGGGCGAGGGAGATAGAGAGAGAGAGAGAGAGAGAGAGAGAGAGAGAGAGAGAGAGAGAGAGAGAGAGAGAGAGAGAGAGAGAGAGAGAGAGAGAGAGAGACGGAGGGTTGGAGCTTGGGTATCGGGGTTCGGGGTTTGGGGTTGAGGGTTTGAGGCTTGAATCCTCTCTTCCGGTGTCGGGGGTTTAAAGGGGGTTGCGAGGGGTTGAAAGGGGTACCGCAAGAGCCTGAGAGGGGTCTTGCAAGGGTTCAAGGGTCGGCGAATCACGATGTGTGGGAGGTTTGAAAGGCCTCGGGGAAGCGGACAGCGATACGGACAGTGTGACGTGGAACCGTATGATCTGGACACACACCCCTGTGACGTGGAAACGTATGATCTGGACACACACCCCTGTGACGTGGAAACTCATGACGGCGCGCAGCTTAATACCGGCCGTGAGAGGTTGATGCGATGCGACCCACGTGTGACGTGGACACGCACCGTGTGATGTAGACACGTGTCGGAAAGCCGAGCAGCTTGGGAAGTGACGTGGCGAGCGGCGAGAGGCGGAGGCGCGTGACGTGGTGCAGAAACGTGCCGTCCGCGACGGCCTTGAACGGCTCGCGGAAGCCGCAGCTCGTGCGGTAGAAGCGCACATGGCGCCGCACCTCCCGCTGCCGCTTCACGCGCATCTCTGCTGCGCGACTACGATGCTGCCAGGTGTGTCGTCAGGTGAATCACCAGGTAGATTGTCAGGTGGATTGTCAGGTGGATCGTCAGAAGGATCGTCCAGCCACAACAAGATGGCGCGAACGGTCACTTCTAATCGGCTCGCAGGCAAACAGCTCTATCGTATCCTACGACCTCGTCACTCGGATTTTGTCAGAACGACTTCTGTAGGTGCTAGTTCTTTCCCGTTGACGGCTTCGCGACGTTCTGTTCGTGTGAAACAGCCGCATTCTCGTTACAAGGGCTGCAACGCAGCTCGTCTCAAGAGCGCAGTTCATTGAAGTACACATTTGTTAGGTTATAGAGAGAGCTTACACTATAGAATAGATGTACACAATGGCAACAGCTAAAGCATGGTTTATACCGTACCAAGAATTTGAACCAGATACACAAACGGACAACGAGACGTTGCTTCGTTATAGTGGAACCCAGCCCAACTCTGATCACAACGTTGTTTTTCCATTACCAGTATCATTTGATGACAAGAATGAAATTAAGTGGTGATTCACTTGGTTTGGATCATCCCACACCATCCAATATGTCAGCTGCACAGCAAACACACACAGGAGCAACCGGCACAAACATAGGCAGGCAAAAACGTCAGGCGAGAATCAGCATGTTACACCAGAAGAGAGAGAAGAGGAAGCCATGGTGGACGGATGAGTGCAACAACCAGGGAGAGGGTGACGAGGAGGGGCAGCGTGTGCATTGGAAGGGAGCGGTGCTGCATGCACGTACATCCACGTACATCGGAAAGAGCAGCATGCATGCATGCCGTGGTGGTGGTGGCGGTGAGAGCAGCTCTGGAAGAACAGCGTATTCAGTACAGTACTTAGAAGAGTGGTGGTGGTTTGTGCACCTCATAATTAAGAGTGAGCAGGTCGGGAAGAGAACGGTGTGCACCTCACCTCGGGAAAATGCACCACTTGCGCGTTGGGCACAAGGGCGGGAGGTGGCTGCGCCATGTGCGGGCGGGCGTATTTGTCCTTTCCCGCCCACAACACAAGCACCCTGTGAGGCACGGGTACCGGGCGGCTGAACCGCCACAGCCCCCTGAGGAACGCCCTGTGGTACGAGATGCCAGCTGTCAGCGCGCCATTGGTGGAGAATGCTTCAACATGACTGCAGGAAGAGTCAGCAGGAAATGGATGAGGGGAAGAGAGGCGGGGCAGGGGGAGTGTGGGGGGGAGGGAGTGTACGAGCACAGGGAGCTGGCATGTGAGAATCGCAGGTAGGCACAAATGGCATGTGGAACAGGGTAGAGGAACGCATGTATGTAATAAGGACATGCTCGCTCGCAAGGCAGTGGCCCGTAAGGACATGTAATTGTGGTGAGGAAGGACAAGTGGGAGGAGTGAAGGAGGCGCCAACCGACATGTCATTTCTGCTCTTCGTGGGTCGTTGACGCAGGCCTCGGGCCTCGTTCCTGCGATGGGGTTGAAGGGCCTCGCTTATTTTCCTCCACCCCCTCGTCTCTCCACCTTTCCCTGCCCTCTCTCTACCCCACCCCCACCCCTATCCCCCCTCACATCTCTCCCATGCCCTCCTCTTTCCACTGCACCTTGACACATGGGCAGAGGGGCATCACTGCTTCTTCCTCACCCCTCTCCCCATTCCCTCCCACCCATCACTGCACCTCTGCACGAGGGCGGGAGCCGGAGGCAGTGGTTGCAACATACAAGGGCCTTTTGAGGCGCCTCATAGGTGATCTCCCCTCATCCCTCACATGCCTCCTCTCAACGCACTAACCCCATCCCTCCCACCCATCACCGCACCTGTGCACGAGGGCAGGAGGCAGTGGGCTTAGCGGCTCATCGCGGTACACTCGCTGCAGAGCTGCACAGCTGGGGGGGGAGAGAGAGGTGTGGAGAGAGGTGTAGAGAGGTGGGGTACGGTGGACAAGGCAAGGTGGCGCAAGGGCAGGAGGCAGTGGGTTTAGTGGCTCATCGCGGTACACTCGCTGCAGAGCTGCACAGCTGCGGTGGGGGGAGGGATGTGGAGAGAGGTGGGGTGCGGTGGATAAGGCAAGGTGGAACAAGGGCAGGCGGCAGAGGTTGCAGTGGCTCGCCGCGATACATACACACGCTGCAGAGCTGCACAGCTGGGGGAGAGATGTGGAGAGAGGTGGAGAGAGGTGGAGAGAGGTGGAGAGAGATGGGAGAGGCGGATACGACGGAGGGAGAGATGACATGGGAGCATGGGGTTATGAGGGCCAGATGGCAGAAAGGCTTGGTAACAGAACAAGGCACACGCTTGGGTGGACGCCATGGCATGCGAGAGAGAGATGGGTACATGCTGTGCCGCACAGGTATGCGCGGCTCGGCATGTGCGTGGCTCGGCATGTGCGTGGCTCGCCATGTGCGCGGCTCGGCATGTGCGTGGCTCGGCATGTGCGTGGCTCGGCATGTGCGTGGCTCGGCATGTGCGCGGCTCGGCATGTGCGTGCCTCGGCATGTGCGCGGCTCGGCATGTGCGTGGCTCGGCATGTGCGTGGCTCGCCATGTGCGCGGCTCGGCATGTGCGTGGCTCGGCATGTGCGTGGCTCGGCATGTGCGTGGCTCGGCATGTGCGCGGCTCGGCATGTGCGTGCCTCGGCATGTGCGCGGCTCGGCATGTGCGTGGCTCGGCATGTGCGTGGCTCGGCATGTGCGTGGCTCGGCATGTGCGTGGCTCGGCATGTGCGCGGCTCGGCATGTGCGTGCCTCGGCATGTGCGCGGCTCGGCATGTGCGTGGCTCGGCATGTGCGTGGCTCGGCATGTGCGTGGCTCGGCATGTGCGTGGCTCGGCATGTGCGCGGCTCGGCATGTGCGTGCCTCGGCATGTGCGCGGCTCGGCATGTGCGTGGCTCGGCATGTGCGTGGCTCGGCATGTGCGTGGCTCGGCATGTGCGTGGCTCGGCATGTGCGCGGCTCGGCATGTGCGTGCCTCGGCATGTGCGCGGCTCGGCATGTGCGTGGCTCGGCATGTGCGTGCCTCGGCATGTGCGCGGCTCGGCATGTGCGTGGCTCGGCATGTGCGTGGCTCGGCATGTGCGTGGCTCGGCATGTGCGTGGCTCGGCATGTGCGCGGCTCGGCATGTGCGTGCCTCGGCATGTGCGCGGCTCGGCATGTGCGTGGCTCGGCATGTGCGTGGCTCGGCATGTGCGTGGCTCGGCATGTGCGTGGCTCGGCATGTGCGCGGCTCGGCATGTGCGTGCCTCGGCATGTGCGCGGCTCGGCATGTGCGTGGCTCGGCATGTGCGTGGCTCGGCATGTGCGTGGCTCGGCATGTGCGTGGCTCGGCATGTGCGCGGCTCGGCATGTGCGTGCCTCGGCATGTGCGCGGCTCGGCATGTGCGTGGCTCGGCATGTGCGTGGCTCGGCATGTGCGTGGCTCGGCATGTGCGTGGCTCGGCATGTGCGCGGCTCGGTATGTGCGTGCCTCGGCATGTGCGCGGCTCGGCATGTGCGTGGCTCGGCATGTGCGTGGCTCGGCATGTGCGTGGCTCGGCATGTGCGTGGCTCGGCATGTGCGTGGCTCGGTATGTGCGCGGCTCGGCATGTGCGTGCCTCGGCATGTGCGCGGCTCGGCATGTGCGTGGCTCGGCATGTGCGTGGCTCGGCATGTGCGTGGCTCGCCATGTGCGCGGCTCGGCATGTGCGTGGCTCGGCATGTGCGTGGCTCGGCATGTGCGTGGCTCGGCATGTGCGCGGCTCGGCATGTGCGTGCCTCGGCATGTGCGCGGCTCGGCATGTGCGTGGCTCGGCATGTGCGTGGCTCGGCATGTGCGTGGCTCGGCATGTGCGTGGCTCGGCATGTGCGCGGCTCGGCATGTGCGTGCCTCGGCATGTGCGCGGCTCGGCATGTGCGTGGCTCGGCATGTGCGTGGCTCGGCATGTGCGTGGCTCGGCATGTGCGTGGCTCGGCATGTGCGCGGCTCGGCATGTGCGTGCCTCGGCATGTGCGCGGCTCGGCATGTGCGTGGCTCGGCATGTGCTTGGCTCGGCATGTGCGTGGCTCGGCATGTGCGTGGCTCGGCATGTGCGTGGCTCGGCATGTGCGTGGCTCGGCATGTGCGTGGCTCGGCATGTGCGTGGCTCGGCATGTGCGTGGCTCGGCATGTGCGTGGCTCGGCATGTGCGCGGCTCGGCATGTGCGTGGCTCGGCATGTGCGTGGCTCGGCATGTGCGTGGCTCGGCATGTGCGTGGCTCGGCATGTGCTTGGCTCGGCATGTGCTTGGCTCGGCATGTGCTTGGCTCGGCATGTGCTTGGCTCGGCATGTGCTTGGCTCGGCATGTGCTTGGCTCGGCATGTGCTTGGCTCGGCATGTGCTTGGCTCGGCATGTGCTTGGCTCGGCATGTGCTTGGCTCGGCATGTGCTTGGCTCGGCATGTGGTTGGCTCGGCATGTATGGCTCACTTGTTGCGCCGCAGAAGCCATTCGGGCAGCCACGGCACGAGGAAGAGGACTGCAGGGCGGGATGGGGGGAACGGGTGCGGCGCGGGGATGGATGTTCGAGAGCAATGGGTGGGCATTGAGAAGAAGTGAGCGACCGGAATGGATGTGCGATGCATCGGTGGTCTTTGCAGAGGTGCAACCATTGGTGTAGAATGGCATGGCACGGCATGGCAAGCCAAGCCACGGCATGGCATGGCACGGCAAGTCAAGCCATGGCATGGTATGGCATGGACTGGCACGGTAAAGCAAGAAGACCCACACCAGCAGAAGTAGCGCAGCAGCGTGAGGGGCTCCCAGAGGGACAGGCAGCGGCAGAGGACGAGAGGGTGTGGCCCACAGAGGGAAGCAGCGCAGAGCAGTGCAGGGCAGAGCATGGCAGTAATTTCTCTTCCCCTACTGGGCATACGAGTGGTACTTACACCAGCAGAAGTAGCGCAGCAGCGTGAGGGGCTCCCAGAGGGACAGGCAGCAGCGGAAGACAAAGGGGTGTGCGGACCAGAGAGGGAAGCCGGTCACTGCAAGGAGTGTGGAGAATAGCTACCCCCTACAGGCCATGTGAGCAGCACTCACACCAATAGAAGTATCGCAGCAGTGTGAGGGGCTCTCGAAGCGACAGGGAGCGGCGGAAGACCAAGGGATGCGGGCCACAGAGCACTGCCACGCGGCGGATGAGGTGCGGATGGTCCATTGCCATGGCCCACGCTGTGAACGCGCCCCACCCGTGCCCGATCTGGTTGCAAAATTTCAGAGGGGGTGAGAAATGGGTAGCGGCTTGAGACATCTCAGAGCAAGGTACGCATCGTCCATGGCCCCATGGCACAGAGCGACAGGCAGCGATGGAAGACAAAGGGGTGCGGCCCACAGAGCACTGCCACGCGACGCACGAGGTGCGGATGATTCATCCATTGCCGTGGCCCACGCTGTGAACGCCCCCCACCCGTGCCCCACCTGGTCGTATGCAAGGGGGGGCGGGGGGGGGGGGGAGTGAGGTATGCGGGATGATGGCATGATGGGGGGTTGAAGAATACGGCAGGCGGATTGTGGGGGGCTGAGGAATGGGGTTGACACAGCGGATGAGGTGAGCACGGTCCATGGCCCACGCTGTGAGCGCTCCATTGGCACTTCGCCCATTCGCCGTTCGCTACAATACTCACCACGTCAGCTTTTCTTATTTCTTCACTGCGCTCGCTGCTTCGTTGTCGCAGGCCAGTTTCGCCCAGCGTTGTTTCCGGCGACGTGCGACAATCATCAGCGACTGCGCTGCTGCTGCTGCGATTCGTAGCGGCGACATCGCCAGCGCCTGTCGGGGCAGCAGCTGTCGCACGGGAAAGGCAGTGCGAGATGAGCGACGCCACGTCAGCGCAGACATGCTGGCGACTGTACGACGCGATTCCAGCCGGCCGCGAAGAGTCGCCAAACCCTCGTAGGTCCGGAACGACGACGCGAAAGCCTGCTTCGGCTAGCGGACCAATCTGCTTGTGCCACGTGTTCCAGAACTCAGGGAATCCGTGCAGCAGCACCACCTGCACGAGCGCACGCATGCGTTGCGACAATGAGCGGACGAAAACCAAGCGTTAGAAGAAGAGCATGAAAGCGACCGCGAAACGGAAGCTAAGGAGATTCTATTCAAGGAAAACCTACACCAGACCTGGCACTAAGTGACACCTCCAGAAAACATCACGAAAACCAGAAGACTAATAATCGAGCGGAAGAGCCATAGGTGGAGTGCGATGTGGAGGTGCGCTTGGGGGAGGAGGGGAAATGAAGCAAAGGAGCAGCAGGTAGACCAACCAGTTGGCCGGTTGGCGGGCCGGCCTCCACGAAGTGGATTGTGATGTTCGGGGAGGTCTGCAGGTAAGAGTGGCGGAAACCGTCGTCCTCTGCCATGGTGCGACTAAAATGACCGCTAAACGAAGCCCCAGGCGACGACGATTTATGGGCTCATTGCCTTCAGCCTTTTGAGGTTCGTCTGAGAGTTTGCCAATCGACACTCACGACTGTTACGGAACTCTCGCCCGACTCGACCAGTTTCGTACAAACTGACCACAAGTGTTTGCCAAATGACTGCTCCACCATAGACTATAACGATTGAAGAAAACACTCACGTGCTTGATTTCCTTTTAACAGCTAAAATTTTACTGTGCAGGCTAGATACTTCGATGCGAAGCATCACAATTGCAATTAAATCATTCTCAACAAAACTGAAGCCTGACGACGATAACCCATTTCTTCCCCTCGCACTGCGTAATCAGGCACGATGACAAGTATTTGATTTAAGAGTGAACAGCATGTACATATATTCAAGAGAACCGCCACATTTTCTGGAGAGCTGCCTTTTTCTCAATGCATCTCACCTCCGCATCAGCATCAGCGCCTACTTTGGCCGTATTGCCCTCCCCTGCCCTGCCCATACCCTCCCCCTTGCTGCCCGTACCCCCGTCCCTGTTGGCCCCCATACCCCTGCTGCTGACCCCCCCCATACCCCTGTTGCCCCGCCCCATACCCTCCTCTCCCGTACCCCCCTGCTTGCCCGTACCCCCCTCGTCCACCATACCCCCCTGCCGCTTGTCCTGCCACTTGTGGTGCCGCTTGTGTACCTGCTCCACTACCAGGCCTCACCCACACATTCCCACCATACCCCCCTTGCTGCTGCTGTTGCTGCTGCTGATAATACCCCCCCTGTGCCTGCTGCTGGACCTGGTATACAGCCTGTCCCCCCCGATACCCATACCCCTGCTGCTGCTGTTGCTGCTGCGGCTGCTGCTGCTGCCGCTGCTGCTGCTGCTGCTGCTGCTGCTGCTGTGGTTGCCCATACGCCCCTGCTTTCCCCCCATAAGCAGCAACCCTAGGGTCTGCCGATACCGCACTGTACCCCCCCGTTTGCCCGTGACTGTATCCGCCCGCATGAGCGTGACTATAAGGGGCGGCCTGGCTGTAGGGTGACTGTACGGGGAGAATGCCGCCTGCTAGAGGAACAGGCAGGGGCACGGGGCCGGCAGTGCCCATGTGACTCAGCCGCTGCTGCGCTTCCCGCAGCTGGGCGGCTGCCGCCCCGCCCTGCCGCCCGGCCGCGCCGAGAGAGTTGAGAAGCAGACGAGTGGCTGCCGCCCCTAGGGCAGGACCTCCTATGGCGTTCTGCACTGGCCGCCTGGGAAGAACGGGGGAGGGGGGGGAGTGGGGTGGGGGAGGGGGAGGGAGGGAGGGCAGGGAAAAGAGAAGGGTGAGGAAAGTGAGGAGATGGGGGTGAGGTAACAGTAGGAGGAGACACTGGGCAAGAGAAAGGAATGAGGAGGACAGGAAGCGAGGTGTGATTGTTTTATCCACTGAGAGAGTGGTAAATTTGTCCAGGAGAGGAATTTGATGAAGTGAAGTGCTTGCAAGGAATGAGGGGGTTAGGGGTTGGTTTGCAGTTTCGCATGCCAGAGGGCTAAGGGTTCATGCGAGCAATAAGGGGGGGATTGCGAGGAAAAGACACAGGGACAGTACGGAATTGTCCAGATCCTATCCTATGCACATTGAACTGGCTCATCTGATACTGTCACTTGCCTGCTACAATGACTTGTCACCAACAGAGACTCATTTGCCCAGAAAACCAGCAGCACAGCACAGCGCACAAGCAGCGAACATGGAGCACACGTCCAGCACACGCCCAGCACACGCCCGGAACACACGCCCAGCACACACCCGGAACACATTTCGCACACGCCTGGCACATGCTCAGCACACGGTCAGCACACGCCCAGAACACGCCGGCACGCAGCCAGCACACGCTCGGCACACGCCTAGCACACGTGTGGCATGCACCCAGCACACGCACCTGTCCTGTATCTGCGGCCGTCGCCGCCCCCACGTATCCTCATGCCACAGCGGCTCCGACTTGATGTCCTGCTCTGATACCAACTGGTGGGCGCAGCACGCAAGCGGGGCGGGGGTAGCAGGGGGTGGGGAGAGCAGGGAGCACGGGGAGGTGTTGAGGTGCCAACCGCATACCTTGGTGCCACAGCGGCTCCGACTTGATGTCCTGCTCTGATACCAACTAATGAGCGGAACAGGCAGGAGCAAAAGGGCCAGATAAGAAAGAATAGGAAGCAGCCGGGCAAGAGGGGGAGAAACGGGGGGTGGGTGCGAAGGGGAGTGAGGGTGGGTGCGGGCAGAGAGGGAGCACAGAAAAGTGTGGAGAATCAACTGAATGCCTTGGTGCCACAGCAGCGCAGAATTAATGTCTTGCTCTGATACCATACGATCAGAAGCACAGAGCAGGAGGGAGAGAGCAGAGGGAAAACGGCGGATACATGCTATGGGCGGCAGGTGCATGCTATGGGCGGCAGATAGATGCCATGGGCGGCAGATACATGCCTTGGGGGGGTAGACGGCGCCAGCTGGCGGGCGGCAGATGTGGCGATGGAAGTCTGGGTTCTTGTAGACCACACAGCTGGCGAGAGGGTGAGGTGCAGGGGTTGGTGAAGGTGGGAGGGAGGGAGGGATGCAGCGATACGGTAAGAGGTGCAGACAAGTCTGGCAGATGTGGCGATGAAAGTCTGGGTTCTTGTAAACCACACAGCTGAAGTTGATATGGTGGTTGGGGGCAGGGCAGTATAGGGGGGTGGGGGAAAGGAGGGGGTGGGGGGGGAGGGGGAGTTGCAGAGGTACGGTAAGAGGTGGGGAGAATGTGGCAATGGAAGTCGGGATTCTTGAACAGCTGGCGCGAGGGTGCAGAAAGTAGTTTGTGTTTTGGGGGGAGGCGCGGAGGGATGGGGGAGAGAAGCGGGTGTGAGGGAGGGCATGCAGAGTTGCAGAGATGCGAGATGAAGTGGAAGGGACGGGTAAGTGCAGGAGAGAAGGGATGACGAGAGTGATAAGATCAATGGCGATCAAGAAAGCAGTTATGCGTGCAGAACCATAATGCAGCATCAGAGATGGTATCCTTGTTGCAGCCTTGCTGCTGCCTGGTTGATATGCTGGCTCGCATGCACAAACTGCCAACTCGCATTATTTCTTCCTGACAGCCTTGGCTGCCAGCTCACATGCCTTGGTTGCTGGTGATGGCCTCGAATCGCGACATGGGGGCAAGCAGCATGGGCGGGCAAAGTCACACGACCTGAACTGCCAGCTCACAGCAATTGCCAGCTCACAGCAATTGCCAGCTCACAGCAATTGCCCGCTCACAGCAATTGCCCGCTCACACACGGGCGCTTGCACAACATAATTGCCATCTCACAAAACAGCAGCTCACATGACTTGGTTGCTGGTGATGGTCTCGAAGCCCGACATGGGCGCGCGCAGCATGGGCGGGCAGGGCTGCCCGTCACACAAGACTAGGTAGCCGTTCATGCCATCGCTGATAGAGCCACTCCCCCTTGCACGGCAACCCAGGGGGGGGGTAGGAGAGGAATAGGGGCACGGGCAGGGCAGGGCAGGGCAGGGCAGGGCAGGGCAGGGCAGGGCAGGGCAGGGCAGGGCAGGGCAGGGCAGGGCAGGGCAGGGCAGGGCAGGGCAGGGCAGGGCAGGGCAGGGCAGGGCAGGGCAGGGCAGGGCAGGGCAGGGCAGGGCAGGGCAGGGCAGGGCAGGGCAGGGCAGGGCAGGGCAGGGCAGGGCAGGGCAGGGCAGGGCAGGGCAGGGCAGGGCAGGGCAGGGCAGGGCAGGGCAGGGCAGGGCAGGGCAGGGCAGGGCAGGGCAGGGCAGGGCAGGGCAGGGCAGGGCAGGGCAGGGCAGGGCAGGGCAGGGCAGGGCAGGGCAGGGCAGGGCAGGGCAGGGTAGGGCAGGGCAGGGCAGGGCAGGGCAGGGCAGGGCAGGGGCAGGGGCAGGGGCGGGGGCAGGGGCGGGGGCAGGGGCAGAAGCAGGAGGAAGGCAAGGAAAGGGGGAAAAATGAGGAACGTCTTTTGAGATGTGTGTGACTGGTTGCAGCAGCATGGGCAGAGCGGGGGCGGCCGCACAGAGCACTAGATAGCACTGGATAGATAGCCGTTCATTCCATCGCTGGTTGCAGAGACACAAGGAAGGGAAGAAAGAGAGAGAGGAGAAGGCTGAGGGGGGTATACCTGAGGGAGGTATACCCGAGGGAGGTATACCCGAGGGAGGTATACCCAAGGGAGGTATACCTGAGGGAGGTATACCTGAGGGAGGTATACCCGAGGGAGGTATACTCGAGGGAGGTATACCCGAGGGAGGTATACCCGAGGGAGGTATACCTGAGGGAGGTATACCTGAGGGAGGTATACCTGAGGGAGGTATACCTGAGGGAGGGGTCGATAGCGTGCTTCTTGTGGGCGCGCGCCTTGGCATCGAGCTGCCCCCACTTGCCCATCATCTCCCACACCGTCTTTGCCAGTGGGTACCCCGATGAGAAGTACATCAGCTCGCACAGCTGGCTGTTGCGCCTCCTCTCCTCCGGCTGTGAGGGTGGGTGAATGGTTCACGCAAGAGGCATGCAGGTTATGAGCACGTGAGGACATGCTGGGGTTGCTGGCGGGTATCTTAAGGAGAAGTGCATGAGCTCGCACAGCTGGCTGTTGCGCCTCCTATCCTCGGGCTGTGGGGAGGGTGGATGGTTGAAATAGCATGTGACACAACACAACGAGGCACGTTGCAACGTTGCTCCCATTACAGGAGAATGGGTGGAGTTGGAAACACAAAAGCACGCGGTGGCGGTGGCGGGTATTTGGGTACGCGCCGTCACAGTGAGGGCAGGCGGCATGGAACCTGAGTGGGCTCGACTTGCTTGACAGACAGACATGGTTTCATGCTTCGATTACAAACGGTGCTCCTTGAATTGGGACTCACCGTGAGAGTGGACTCGACTTGCTTGATGGCCTCTAGCAGTCGGTCTTCATCGATGAACGGCAGCAACGCCACTCCCTGGACAAGGATGGTGAGGAGTGGTGCGCAAGGACATGGGACATGAGTGGCATGGCGCGTTTGCGCATGGCACATGGGCACGGCACATGGGCACGGCACATGGGCACGGCACATGGGCACGGCACATGGGCACGGCACATGGGCACGGCACATGGGCACGGCACATGGGCACGGCACATGGGCACGGCACATGGGCACGGCACATGGGCACGGCACATGGGCACGGCACATGGGCACGGCACATGGGCACGGCACATGGGCACGGCACATGGGCACGGCACATGGGCACGGCACATGGGCACGGCACATGGGCACGGCACATGGGCACGGCACATGGGCACGGCACATGGGCACGGCACATGGGCACGGCACATGGGCACGGCACATGGGCACGGCACATGGGCACGGCACATGGGCACGGCACATGGGCACGGCACATGGGCACGGCACATGGGCACGGCACATGGGCACGGCACATGGGCACGGCACATGGGCACGGCACATGGGCACGGCACATGGGCACGGCACATGGGCACGGCACATGGGCACGGCACATGGGCACGGCACATGGGCACGGCACATGGGCACGGCACATGGGCACGGCACATGGGCACGGCACATGGGCACGGCACATGGGCACGGCACATGGGCACGGCACATGGGCACGGCACATGGGCACGGCACATGGGCACGGCACATGGGCACGGCACATGGGCACGGCACATGGGCACGGCACATGGGCACGGCACATGGGCACGGCACATGGGCACGGCACATGGGCACGGCACATGGGCACGGCACATGGGCACGGCACATGGGCACGGCACATGGGCACGGCACATGGGCACGGCACATGGGCACGGCACATGGGCACGGCACATGGGCACGGCACATGGGCACGGCACATGGGCACGGCACATGGGCACGGCACATGGGCACGGCACATGGGCACGGCACATGGGCACGGCACATGGGCACGGCACATGGGCACGGCACATGGGCACGGCACATGGGCACGGCACATGGGCACGGCACATGGGCACGGCACATGGGCACGGCACATGGGCACGGCACATGGGCACGGCACATGGGCACGGCACATGGGCACGGCACATGGGCACGGCACATGGGCACGGCACATGGGCACGGCACATGGGCACGGCACATGGGCACGGCACATGGGCACGGCACATGGGCACGGCACATGGGCACGGCACATGGGCACGGCACATGGGCACGGCACATGGGCACGGCACATGGGCACGGCACATGGGCACGGCACATGGCACGGCACATGGGCACGGCACATGGGCACGGCACATGGGCACGGCACATGGGCACGGCACATGGGCACGGCACATGGGCACGGCACATGGGCACGGCACATGGGCACGGCACATGGGCACGGCACATGGGCACGGCACATGGGCACGGCACATGGGCACGGCACATGGGCACGGCACATGGGCACGGCACATGGGCACGGCACATGGGCACGGCACATGGGCACGGCACATGGGCACGGCACATGGGCACGGCACATGGGCACGGCACATGGGCACGGCACATGGGCACGGCACATGGGCACGGCACATGGGCACGGCACATGGGCACGGCACATGGGCACGGCACATGGGCACGGCACATGGGCACGGCACATGGGCACGGCACATGGGCACGGCACATGGGCACGGCACATGGGCACGGCACATGGGCACGGCACATGGGCACGGCACATGGGCACGGCACATGGGCACGGCACATGGGCACGGCACATGGGCACGGCACATGGGCACGGCACATGGGCACGGCACATGGGCACGGCACATGGGCACGGGCACATGGGCACGGCACATGGGCACGGCACATGGGCACGGCACATGGGCACGGCACATGGGCACGGCACATGGGCACGGCACATGGGCACGGCACATGGGCACGGCACATGGGCACGGCACATGGGCACGGCACATGGGCACGGCACATGGGCACGGCACATGGGCACGGCACATGGGCACGGCACATGGGCACGGCACATGGGCACGGCACATGGGCACGGCACATGGGCACGGCACATGGGCACGGCACATGGGCACGGCACATGGGCACGGCACATGGGCACGGCACATGGGCACGGCACATGGGCACGGCACATGGGCACGGCACATGGGCACGGCACATGGGCACGGCACATGGGCACGGCACATGGGCACGGCACATGGGCACGGCACATGGGCACGGCACATGGGCACGGCACATGGGCACGGCACATGGGCACGGCACATGGGCACGGCACATGGGCACGGCACATGGGCACGGCACATGGGCACGGCACATGGGCACGGCACATGGGCACGGCACATGGGCACGGCACATGGGCACGGCACATGGGCACGGCACATGGGCACGGCACATGGGCACGGCACATGGGCACGGCACATGGGCACGGCACATGGGCACGGCACATGGGCACGGCACATGGGCACGGCACATGGGCACGGCACATGGGCACGGCACATGGGCACGGCACATGGGCACGGCACATGGGCACGGCACATGGGCACGGCACATGGGCACGGCACATGGGCACGGCACATGGGCACGGCACATGGGCACGGCACATGGGCACGGCACATGGGCACGGCACATGGGCACGGCACATGGGCACGGCACATGGGCACGGCACATGGGCACGGCACATGGGCACGGCACATGGGCACGGCACATGGGCACGGCACATGGGCACGGCACATGGGCACGGCACATGGGCACGGCACATGGGCACGGCACATGGGCACCGGCACATGGGCACGGCACATGGGCACGGCACATGGGCACGGCACATGGGCACGGCACATGGGCACGGCACATGGGCACGGCACATGGGCACGGCACATGGGCACGGCACATGGGCACGGCACATGGGCACGGCACATGGGCACGGCACATGGGCACGGCACATGGGCACGGCACATGGGCACGGCACATGGGCACGGCACATGGGCACGGCACATGGGCACGGCACATGGGCACGGCACATGGGCACGGCACATGGGCACGGCACATGGGCACGGCACATGGGCACGGCACATGGGCACGGCACATGGGCACGGCACATGGGCACGGCACATGGGCACGGCACATGGGCACGGCACATGGGCACGGCACATGGGCACGGCACATGGGCACGGCACATGGGCACGGCACATGGGCACGGCACATGGGCACGGCACATGGGCACGGCACATGGGCACGGCACATGGGCACGGCACATGGGCACGGCACATGGGCACGGCACATGGGCACGGCACATGGGCACGGCACATGGGCACGGCACATGGGCACGGCACATGGGCACGGCACATGGGCACGGCACATGGGCACGGCACATGGGCACGGCACATGGGCACGGCACATGGGCACGGCACATGGGCACGGCACATGGGCACGGCACATGGGCACGGCACATGGGCACGGCACATGGGCACGGCACATGGGCACGGCACATGGGCACGGCACATGGGCACGGCACATGGGCACGGCACATGGGCACGGCACATGGGCACGGCACATGGGCACGGCACTATGGGCACGGCACATGGGCACGGCACATGGGCACGGCACATGGGCACGGCACATGGGCACGGCACATGGGCACGGCACATGGGCACGGCACATGGGCACGGCACATGGGCACGGCACATGGGCACGGCACATGGGCACGGCACATGGGCACGGCACATGGGCACGGCACATGGGCACGGCACATGGGCACGGCACATGGGCACGGCACATGGGCACGGCACATGGGCACGGCACATGGGCACGGCACATGGGCACGGCACATGGGCACGGCACATGGGCACGGCACATGGGCACGGCACATGGGCACGGCACATGGGCACGGCACATGGGCACGGCACATGGGCACGGCACATGGGCACGGCACATGGGCACGGCACATGGGCACGGCACATGGGCACGGCACATGGGCACGGCACATGGGCACGGCACATGGGCACGGCACATGGGCACGGCACATGGGCACGGCACATGGGCACGGCACATGGGCACGGCACATGGGCACGGCACATGGGCACGGCACATGGGCACGGCACATGGGCACGGCACATGGGCACGGCACATGGGCACGGCACATGGGCACGGCACATGGGCACGGCACATGGGCACGGCACATGGGCACGGCACATGGGCACGGCACATGGGCACGGCACATGGGCACGGCACATGGGCACGGCACATGGGCACGGCACATGGGCACGGCACATGGGCACGGCACATGGGCACGGCACATGGGCACGGCACATGGGCACGGCACATGGGCACGGCACATGGGCACGGCACATGGGCACGGCACATGGGCACGGCACATGGGCACGGCACATGGGCACGGCACATGGGCACGGCACATGGGCACGGCACATGGGCACGGCACATGGGCACGGCACATGGGCACGGCACATGGGCACGGCACATGGGCACGGCACATGGGCACGGCACATGGGCACGGCACATGGGCACGGCACATGGGCATGGCATAGTGCAGTGCGGGCATGAGACGGGGTGCTGGATTATGAATGAAGGAGGCTGCTGCATGACATGCATGGGATGGGATCCTTGGTATGGTACGGCCCTAGACACACATGGCATCTGTGCAGCAGCAAAGATGCTTCACACATGACCCGAGATGCTCTAGAATTCAGTGACGCCACGCCTCAACCCTTTACAAGCCACGAGCTGATGGGAAAAGGCTGAAGGAGTGAGGGACAGTCGGGGCGACGAGGAGAGAATGAAACAGAAAGCGAGGCAGACGAGAGGAAGAAGGTGGTGTGACTGCAGGCGGGAAAGGGTGAGAAAGGACAAGGGTGAACGAGTGTGAGAATGGGAGTGTGTGTAGAGAGGCGGGGAAACTGACCTGCCAAGCAAAGCGCTTGCCATTCATGTCAACACTGAAATCTGTGCAGGCGGAGAAGAGAGTGGAAAGGCCGGGGGACGGGGGAGCGCGACGAGGGAAGGGGGGGGGGGGGTTGGGGGGGTGGGGGAGGGAAGGGGATGATGAGGGAAAGGAGAGGTAGAGGAGGAAGAAGCTGTGATCAAGTGCAGATAAAAATGCGAACAAAGTCGTGTTCGGCATGTCTGTGCGCACTCAGACTGGTGAGGCAGAGAGGGGAGGAAGCGAGGGCAAGCAGAGAAATCAGACAATGCGATTGATGCATGCATGCATGCATGGACGGATGCAGCGAAAGCATGGCATGCAAGTGGTGACGGACCACGTATGGATGGCATGGCATGGCATGGCATGGCGTGGCATGGCATGGCATGGCATGGCATGGCGTGGCATGGCATGGCATGGCATGGCATGGCGTGGCATGGCATGGCATGGCGTGGCATGGCATGGCATGGTGTGGCAGGCGTGGCATGGCGTGGCATGGCATGGTGTGGCAGGCGTGGCATGGCGTGGCATGGCATGGCATGGCATGGCATGGCGTGGCATGGCATGGCATGGCGTGGCATGGCATGGCATGGCATGGCGTGGCATGGCATGGCATGGTGTGGCAGGCGTGGCATGGCGTGGCATGGCATGGCAGGCGTGGCATGGCGTGGCATGGTGTGGCAGGCGTGGCAGGCGTGGCATGCATGCAACGAGGCGTGTACCAGTGGGGTAGAAGTCAACGATGGGCGAGGCTGGGTCCGACATGAGCTTGCGATACGCTGTTGGCAGCGCACCGGAACTGATGTGTGGAGCAGGGGAGAGAGGGGAGAGAGGAAGGAGTGAAAAAGGTTTTGAGTTTTAGTCTCAAAGGGGATCGAGGAGGGAGAAGTGGATCTTCAGCTTGTCCAGGCTCACCAGTTGACCACAACACACAACACCGCACTCCACCGCACACAACCACACTGCACTGCACCTCACCACATGATACCACACCTGAACCGCACTCCACCGCACTGCACCGTACCTAGCCGCAGGCAGCACGCCCATGAGCTGGTCGAAGGGCTTGAAGGGGCGGCCGAGGAAGAAGTGAATCTCCAACTCGTCCAGGCGCACATTGTCACAACACACAGTACCACACACACACCACCGCACTGTACCACACGCCACTGCATAACACTGCACATGGCCACACTCCACCGCACTGCACCATACCTGGCGGCGGGCAGCACGCCCATGAGCTGATCAAAGGGCTTGAAGGGGCGGCCTAGAAAGAAGTGAATCTCCAACTCGTCCAGCCGCACCAAATCAGATGCAAACGGTGCATAGTGGTACGGGTAGTACCTGGGGGAGGGGGGTATGTGAGGAGACAGTTGCTAGGTTGTGACACAGCACTACCACATGGCCCAGCAGCACTACCACATGGCCCAGCAGCACTACCACATGGCCCAGCAGCACTACCACATGGCCCAGCAGCACTACCACATGGCCCAGCAGCACTACCATGCAACCCAGAGTAAGCCCTTGCACAAACCACATCACTGCACTCCTTTCACCTGGTCAATCTAGCCACCAGCAGGCCTCACCGGTTCCACGAGCACAAGCCCTGGTAGCAATACATCATCCCACAGCACCACCCACCACCCACCACTACGCCTTGCTCTCACCAGTTCCATGAGCACACGCCCTGGTAGTAATATCGCATCACCCAGCAGTCCCACATGACCCAGAAGAGACCCTCGCACAAACCATCAGTACCAATCTCAACCAGCCCGCCACACCCATCACTACCCAGTGGTACCTCCCTGTCACCGATTCAACCTAGCCACATCTCACCAGTTCCAAGAGCACACGCCCTGGTAGTAATACATCACTCTGCACCACCCAGCACCCATCACCACCCAGGTAATAATACACCTTAGCTTAATCTCACCAGTTCCAAGAGCACACGCCCTGGTAGTAATATCTCATGACCCAGCATAGACCCTCCACAAACTTCAGCACCTGCAGAAGCGATGGGCACAGGCGGATGGGTTGGGTGTGCGCGGCAAAAGAGAGAAAGAGGGGGTTGAGTGAGTCGGAGTACAGCCGTTGTAGTAATACCGCATGACCCAGCATAGCCCAGTAAGACCCTAACTCAACCCCCTCTTTCTCTCTTTACGGCTGTACCCTAACTCAACCCCCTCTTTCTCTCTTTACGGCTGTACCCTAACTCAACCCCCTCTTTCTCTCTTTACGGCTGTGTCTAACTCAACCCCCTCTTTCTCTCTTTACGGCTGTACCCTAACTCAACCCCCTCTTTCTCTCTTTACGGCTGTACCCTAACTCAACCCCCTCTTTCTCTCTTTACGGCTGTACCCTAACTCAACCCCCTCTTTCTCTCTTTACGGCTGTTCTCCTCACAAACTTTAGAATCTGCGGGAGGGAGGATTGGAGGCAGCAAGGGTCGAGTTAATCGTGCGAGCATGGGAAAGCAAAAAAATGATTCTGAGAGGCAGAGATCCAAAAGTGGAGATTTGATAGCAAGTAAGAGAGATTTGATAGCAAGTAAGAGAGATTTGATAGCAAGTAAGAGAGATTTGATAGCAAGAAAGAGAGATTTGATAGCAAGTAAGAGATTTGATAGCAAGTGAGAGAGATTTGATAGCAAGTGAGAGAGATTTGATAGCAAGTAAGAGAGATTTGATAGCAAGTAAGAGAGATTTGATAGCAAGTAAGAGAGATTTGATAGCAAGTAAGAGAGATTTGATAGCAAGTAAGAGAGATTTGATAGCAAGTAAGAGAGATTTGATAGCAAGTAAGAGAGATTTGATAGCAAGTAAGAGAGATTTGATAGCAAGTAAGAGAGATCTGGGGGACTTTCTGTGTTAGTGTGAGAGGGAGGAGGGCCTTGGAAGCAGTATCCCATGAGCCACCATAAACTCTCTCCACAAGCTGGAGCAGGTGGAAAGAGACAGAACGGGCAGTGTGAGTGCGTGGTGACCCCGAGTGCAGTGAGGTGTCGTGCAGTGAGGCGGAATACAGTGGGGCATAGTGCAGTGAGGAGGAGTGCGGTGAGGCGGAGTGGAGTGCGGTGCGGTGAGCCCGAGGGTACTGACCACATCCTGACGAACGCGCTCCTGCTCCTCATACGACGTCACTCCAAACTTCTGCTGGTAGTAGCGTTCCTTCCACCCGTCGTCACCCAGCCGGATCTGATGCATGACAAGGGATGATGAGATAATCATAATGTGATATGAGAGACAGGGTCCTGATCGACCACCTCTGCTGGTAGTAGCGCTACTTCCACCCTTCGTTGCCCCATCGGATCTGTCACCATGCGATGCGATTGGGTGATGCATGCATGACAAGGGGGGACGAGATGAGATGATATGAGATCAGGCACAAGGTACTGGCTGACCACCTCTGCTGGTAACACGGTAACACCGATCCTTCCACCCCCAGTCGCCCAGCCAGATCCATGCATGCAATGGGATGGGGTGATGAGATGTGATGAGATCAGGTAAGATCATGGCAGGAAGAGGCAGGGAGAGGCAGGGAGATGGTGAAAGAGGGACTTCACCATCCACTTCTGCTGGCAGTACCGCTCCTTCCACTCCACTTCCCCCTCCCCCCCCCCTCCCCCCGCCCCCCCTCTTCTTGCACAGCACACCACCCATCTCACCTCATCATCGGGCACCTTGCCCCCAGCAAAAAGGTCCGTCTTTAGCTTCATTTTGAGCTCCCTCTCCCCCATCCCTCCCCTCTCGCCAACTATATGCATACCTTACCATGGCTCTATTCCTCACCTCGTCATCCGGCTCCTTGCCCCCGGCAAACAGGTCTGATTTGCCCTTGAGCGCGGACTTGAGCTTGAGCTTGAGCTCCTCCTGCAGATCCTCCTCCTCCTCCTCCTGCATGGGTGAGCACAGGGCAGTGTGGGCCAGGCAGGGAGGGTAGCACGGGGCAGGAAGGGCAACGCGGGGCAGGGAGGGCAGGGAGGGCAACGTGGGGCAGGGAGGGCATGGGAAGACAGCAGAAAGAGGCGTAATGAGTGTGTGAGGCTGAAGTGGGAGGAAGAACAAAGCAATGATGGGACAAAAATGTATTAAGCCTCCTAAAATAATGAAACCACACCCTGGGGAGGAAAAGGAGGCAGAAATCGGCATATAAAAATGGCGGAAAGATAGCCGCAGCATGCATGAACAAAGCAGGCAAGAAAAAGGAGGTCGCGTGGGCGGGCACATGGCGGGCACATGGCATGGATGGCAGGCACATCACATGGCAGGCACATGGCATGGCGGGCACATGGCATGGCTGGCAGGCACATCACATGGCAGGCACATGGCATGGCGGGCACATGGCAGGTGCGCTCTATTGATGCAGCACACATGAGAACTGGTAAAACGAAGGCAGGAAGGCAGGCAGGCAAACATGAGCACGCGCAGCGAGCAGCACAAGACGGACGCGCAGTGCATGCACTACTGGTGGAGCGACTTTGCTAGTCCACTATCCCCATGCCACCTTTCGACCATCACTTCTCGCACAGCTCCCTCTACTAAACCTACCACCACTCCCTACTCTCCCCTACCCTTCCCTACCCATCTCTAACCTTCTCTACCCTTCCCTCACCTTCCCTACTTTCTCTACCCTTCCCTCACCTTCCCTACTTTCTCTACCCTTCCCTCACCTTCCCTACCTTCTGTACCCCTCCCTACCCTTCTCAACCTTCTCACTCTTCTCATCATTCTCTAACCTTCCTTCTCTACCCTTTCCCACCAGGGCCGATCGGCCAACCTCTCTCCCTCCTGCGGCGGCAGCAGCAGCAGCGCCAGCAGCACCATCCACACGCATCATCTTCGTTACAGGTGGCGCAGCCGGGTCGGCCGACGATGCTGACGTGGCGTGGCCTGCCAGCTTGGCGCGCAGCGCAGCAGCAGCCGCCTGGTTGCTCCCCGCTGACCCGTTGGCAGCAGCAGCATTGGGGTTGGCGAGCGGCGTGGCGAGGAGGGCGAAGGAGTTGCGAGAGGCAGGGTTCATGTCGCTGCGGCTGTACAGTCCTCCGTGGTGCGTTGGCTGCTGTGATGCTGGCAGCTGTCAGGGGAAGGGGGGAATTGGGAAGAGGAGATAGAGAAACATTGAGAATCAGGGGACGGGGAACGTGTGAAGTGGCGAGGAGGGCAAAGGAGTTGCAGGAGGAACTACAAATGTCGCTGCGGCTGCAGGGTCCTCCGTGGTGTGTTGGCTGCTGTGACGCTGGCAGCTGCAAGGTGGGGAGGTGGGTAGCAAGGGGGTAAAAGGGGGGGGTGTGAAGAGACAGCGGCAGCAGCAGCAGCAGCGGTGGTGGTGGTGGTGGAAGCGGGAGCCACTATGCATGTCGCTGCAGCTGTGCAGCACCCCCTGGTGTGTTGGCTGCTGCGATGCTGGCAGCTGCAGAGTGGTAGATTGGGAGGGGGGGGGGGGGGGGAGTGGGGAGGAAGAGAGGGTTTAGGGAGACATAGAGGAACAGGGGAGGCGCTGTTCACGTCGCTGCGGCTGTGCTGCCCCCCGTGATGCATTGGCTGCTGTGATGCTGACAGCTGTTGTTGTGAGGAAAGAGGGGGCCGGGGGAAGGGGAGGGAGCGGAGAGGCATGGAGGAGCACATGGGACATGTGAGGGGAAGGGCAAGCGAGACCAAGGGCAATCAGTGCAATAAGTGCAATCACTGGGAGATGTCGAGCATCTTGAACAGGCGAGTGAGTGGAGCCAACGGCTTGCAACTGCTGCGGGTCCACAACCCTCCAAAGTGCTTTGGCTGCTGCAACGCTGGCAGATGCAAGGGCACGTACTGGCTGCAGGGCGGATGAGGGCACGTTGGGGGCGGCCTCGTCTCCCTTGCGGTACTGATTGCGTTCCTTCTGCTGCCTGTCTCGCACCCTCCTCTCCTTCTGCCTCTGCTCATGTGCCATGTGCCACACACGCAGCGCACACATGCACCAAGAGCCAGGCACATGCACATAGACATCACATGCCATGCACCACGCGCCATGCCATACCATAACACATGCAAATCATGAAGTGCATGGTCATGCCCATGGCCCCATGGCAACACACACGGCAGCGAGAAATAGCGGTGAGTGCACCATGGAGCCTGCACTGCATGGGCTTCATAAAGCTTGCTCCATGAACCACGCACGAGCCCCATGACGAATGCTCCATATCCACTGCTCACACCACCACTCGTCACCTTGCTGCCCGCACCTCGCAGCCTCACACTCTTCCCTCACACTCTTCCCTCTCACCGGCCTGCCAGTGCCGCGCTGTGGATTGTGTTCAACTCAGTGCTCTCATTTTTGAAGGAGCCGCCTTGGTGCAAGCATGGCATGCTAGTCACGCTCAGCCTGTGTGATAGCCTGGTGAGTGCGCTTCATAAAATTGGACAATTGTGTAAATGCCACATGTAATGCATGATGCACCATGCCCCATGCCCCATGCCCCATGCCTTATGCACCATGCACACTGCACCATGCACCGCCGTGCAGGTTACCTGGTGGATGCGGGCGCGCTTCATGAAGATGGACTGCTCGTGCACTGCCACAGCCTGGATGAAATGCTCCACTCGCCGCAGATCCACCTGGGAGAGAAACGGGAGAAAGGGGAGAGAGGGGAGGTGGGGGGTTGCGGGAGGGTAGGGAAGGGAGGGGAAAGTGGGGCGAGGAAACGGAGGTGGGCGAGTGGATGGGAGCTCCGGTAGAAAGTGAGAGGCCACAGCCGCACATGGGGAGAAGCAAGTTGAGGGTTGGATTGGAACACCAGCGAATGCGAGATGGTACATCTCTTGTGTTCGGGGTTATACACACTGCCACTGACACTGACACTGACACTGACACTGCCACTGCCACTGCCGCTGCCGCTGCCGTTGCCGCTGCCGCTGCCACTGCCGCTGCCGCTGCCGCTGCCGCTGCCGCTGCCGCTGCCACTGCCACTGCCACTGCCGCTGCCACTGCCGCACCCACTGCCACACCCACTGCCACACCCACTGCCACACCCACTGCCTCCCAGGTTGGCAAACTCGCGGCGGTAGATTGACACCAGGAGGTTGATGGCACCCTGTGGACATGCACACACAGACCCACCCATGGCTACCGCTACTGCCATTGCCACTGCCACGACTCACCTCGCCGTTCTCTGTGAGGTAGCCTCCCAGGTTGGCGAACTCCCGGCGGTAGATTGACACCAGGAGGTTGATGGCACCCTGTGGACATGCACACACACACACACACACATGCGAAATGGAAAATGCATCCACACACACGGTGGGGTGGGGAGACATGAGCTTGCAAAGTGGGGAGACATGGGCGTCACATCACAGGGACCGTTGAGGTGCCTGAAAGAGCAACTGACTGAACATGCCAGCCAGCACAGCACGTGTTCAACTCACACCACCAAGACCGGGTCTACCATCCTCCTCCCACCACAACTTACCTCTCTGATCTCGAGAGTGGGCATGTGCGGCAGAAAGTCATTCCCCACGAAGAAGCACATGAAGACAAAATCGTCCAGCACCCTCTTACAACATGCCAACACCGTTCTCACCCCAACACCAAGACGAGAAAGAGACACCACACCGCATACCACCGCTGCGCACCTCTCTGATCTCGAGCGTCGGCATGTGCGGTAAAAAGTCATTCCCCACGAAGAAGCACATGAAGACAAAGTCGTCGAGCACCCTCTCCAGGTCCATCTCCACCCCCGGCACGCGGAACTCCAGCTCCAGGTACTCTCGCAGCACCCAGCACTGCAGCAACTGTTGATGTCGGGCACGCAGGGAGGAGGCAGTGGAAGGGAAAAATGAGAGCAGCAGATGTGGGAAACAGGCAAGACCACTCTCATCCCTATCTCTCCAGGTCCATCTCTACTCTCAGCACTCTATTAGCAACTAAGAGAACAAGTGCAACAGGGGAATGGCAAAAAGGGGCAGACTGAGGGAACAGAGCTGCAGAGCAGAGCAGACACATCCGCCTTCTCCAGGTCCATCTTGCTGCAGGGTGTTTTTGAGAATTCTCAAAAACACCCTGCAGACACATCCGCCTTCTCCAGGTCCGGTCCGGGTCCATCTCACGCCCCGCACACGGACCGGTGCTCGTCCCTCTTGCGTTTCAGCCTGCCCTTACACTCTCCCCCGCATGCACTTATAACGGGTGACCCATTCCCCCAACATGCATCCTCACCTGAAACGGCTTCTTGGGCACGCCCCCCTCCTTCTCGTCGTTCGCTTTGGCTTGCCCTCACACTCTGCCACCAGATGCCCCATGCTCGCATAATGGGTGACGCATGCCCCCCAACCCACGCACAAACACCCACCTGAAACGGTTTCTTGGGTACACCCCCCTCCTTCTCGTCGTTCTCGCCCCTCTTGCGCTTCGGCTTGCCCTCACACTCTGCCGCCAGGTGCCCCGTCTGCCCGCACAGAAAACATTTGTCCACCTGCCCGGGCTGAAACACCACCTGCTTGGCAGCCAATGGCATGTGAGTGTGGGAAACAAAGAGTAATCAAGGGATAAGGAGGAGGGGATTAGGAACAAGACAGAGGCATGCAGGCCGCGACATAATCGCCAATGAGGGAGGTAAGAACCACGGAACGAGGAAAATGACAAAAGGGGGAAGAGAAGGGAGTGGAGGGCGAAGAGTTGACGACAGTGAAATGAACAAAGGCGCAGGAATGGAGGGTGGTAGAGACTGCTGCATGGTCAGGCAGGCTAGCCTGGGCATCACGAATGGAGAGATGCATGATTCATTGGGCGCGTTCTAGCAAGGCGTGGGGTTCTGAAAGGCTGGGTGAGCGCACATACACAGTAGCTAGAGTGCGAGCACGAGAGCACCCACCTCTCTGAGAATGGTGAAATGCACTTCGTGTGTTGCCAGGGCGAGCATGATCAGATCCGCGTCCTGCAAGGGGAAGGAAGATGAGAGTGAGCGGCAAAGGGGGAGACGACAGGAAGGTGGGAGGAGGGGGTTTTGGGAAAGGTGGGGACGGAGTGAGAATGTTAAGAATGCACTTCGTGTGTTGCAAGGGCCAGCATAATCAGATCCCGTCCTACAGGGGAAAAGGGACGGCGGTAGGGCAGAGAGGGAGGGGGGAGGGGAGGGGACAAGAGCATGGGGAACGGTCGAGTGCACTTTGTGTGTTACGAGGGGCAGCATGATCAGATGCAGGGGATGAGGACGGCGTATGCAGAGAGCGACGCATGAGGGAGATGGAAAGAGAGAATGGAGCATGGTGGAGTGCACTTTGTGTGTTACGAAGGGCAGCATGATCAGATTCGCGTCCTGCAGGGGATGAGGGATGGCGTAGGCAGGGAAGAAATTGTGTGGTTTTGTTGGAAGGAAAGTATGTGTTGGGGGGGTTGGGGATAGGGAGCGGGAAAGTGGGGGAGAGAGAGGGGGGGGGAGAGGAGGATAGCAAGGGGGCATACTGACGTGACGTGCATTTCCTCTCTTGACAAGGCTACCATGGTCGGATATGCATGCAGTGGGAGGAGATTCACAGTCAAATGGCGGCAGGAAGGAGGGGGTGCTGGGATCTGTGATCTCCACACGGAATAAAAAGGTAGGGTTTAGGGTGCGAGGTTTAAGCGGGGGTAACGAGCAAGCTATAAACATGTCACCTACCAGTCCGTAGATGCAGTGGCGTGTGTTGGGGTCGAAGCCTGGAAGGTTCCGCTGCAGGCGAATGTAGTTCATGATCTTGTGCTCTCCCTCGCCTGGCACGTTGGCGTCCGACAGAATCACCTGGTGGTGGTGGTGACGGTGGGACGGCATGGCATGGAGGGGAAGGCATCAGGTAACCTGTGGGCTGGGCGAATGTAGTTCATGATCTTGTGCTCTCCGTCTCCTGGCACGAAGGCGTCTGATAGAATCACCTGGTGGTGGTGGTGGTGGTGGTGGTGGCGGCGGCGGCGGCGACGGCGGCGGGGGTGATGGTGGTGGTGGTGGTGGTGGTGGTGGTGGTGGTGGTGGTGGTGGTGGTGGTGGTGGTGGTGGTGGTGGTGGTGGTGGTGGTGGTGGTGGTGGTGGTGGTGGTGGTGGTGGTGGTGGTGGTGGTGGTGGTGGTGGTGGTGGTGCGGAACCAACGATGGGCAAGATAAAAAGGTGTGTTTCTAAGGTCTATTAGTTCTGATCGATCCCCAGTTTTCCTCTGATCTCATATCACCCCTCCCTCTCTCTCCTCACGCGTCTCCCCTGAAACCAGAACCCTGATCCACAATCGTCGCTCAGCCTCACTGTCACAATCCATGCCGGGTCCTGGTGGTCGATCCTGAGGTGGAGGTAGTACTGTTGCATGAAGGGCGGGAGTACCCTCTCCCCTCCCTCTCTCTACTGACTAGCCACCCTTAAACCTGGCCCAACCCTAAACGTCACTTTCACGTTCATCCAGGCAAGGTCCTGATTGATCCTGAGGTGGTCGTAGTACTGCAGCGCGACGGACAGCTGTTGTATCAAGGGCGTGCGTATCCTCCTTCACCTCTTAAACCAAAGCCCCAAACCCTGCCAAATCCTCACCTTGACATTCTTCCAGGCGGGGTCCTGATTGATCCTAAGGTGGATGTAGTACTGCAGCGCGACGGACAGCTGCTGCATGAAGGGCGTGCCGGGCGTGATGACGTTGGAGTCGACCGTCTCCGACTTCTCCTTGGGCGGCACCATGCGCCCCTCCAGCTCAAACTCCTTCCTCAGCCGCTCCTCCTCCGCTGCCTGTGTGGGGGAAGGGAGGGGAGCAAGGGGCGTGACGACGTTGGAGTCAAGTGTCTCCGACTTCTCCTTGGGCGGCACCATGCGCCCCTCCAGCTCAAACTCCTTCCTCAGCCGCTCCTCCTCCGCTGCCTGTGTGGGGGAAGGGAGGGGAGCAAGGGGCGTGACGACGTTGGAGTCATGTGTCTCCGACTTCTCCTTGGGCGGCACCATGCGCCCCTCCAGCTCAAACTCCTTCCTCAGCCGCTCCTCCTCCGCTGCCTGTGTGGGGGAAGGGAGGGGAGCAAGGGGCGTGACGACGTTGGAGTCATGTGTCTCCGACTTCTCCTTGGGCGGCACCATGCGCCCCTCCAGCTCAAGCTCCTTTCTGAGCCTCTCCTCCTCTGCTGCCTGTGTGTGGGGGCACGGAGGCAGGCAGGCGGACGGGCAGGAAAGCAGGCAGGAAGGAAGGGAGGGAGGCATGGGAGTCGTGCGTCTCTGACTTCTCCTTGGGCTGGGCGGCACATGCGCCCCTCCAGCTCAAACTCCTTGCGCAGCCGCTCCTCCTACGCTGCCTGCGTGGCGGAGTGGGAGGGAGGGAGGGAGGGAGGCAGGTGCAAAGGCAGGCAGGGAGGAAAAAAAGGGTGATCAGCTAGGACTGCCAGAGAACACAGGGAATCTGGGAGAAGTGGGGCGTGCCAGGAAGAAGGAAGGCAGGGCAGAACACCAATCACTGCTTATATTATATGCCCCTTGTTGGGCTGTTGTGGAAGGAGCACGCACGAGTGAAGGGACGGACATAGAGGATGGCAGGGGCTACAGCGATCGGGCTATATCGAATATGTGGTTATAGCAGATAACTATAGCGGTTATGGGGCTATAACGGTTATGGGGCTATAACGGGTATGGGGCCATAGCTGGTATGGGGCTTTAGCAGGTAAGGGACTATAACGGTTATGGGGCTATAACGGGTATGGGGCCATAGCTGGTATGGGGCTTTAGCAGGTGAGGGACTATAGCAGTTATGGGGCTATAGCGTGTATGCTTACAGCGTCTGCTGCGTCCTTGGCTGCTCGGAATCTTCTGGAGCGCTGCTGGTTCATCTTGGCTCGCGGAGCCACACCGTCTGCAGGAAGAACGCCAGGAAAGGTAATGAAGGAATCAGCACAGCACAGCCGGGAGTGCTCTGCTGAGTTGAATCGAACGTTGACTAGCGGGGCAGCATCGATTGCAGGAATAGAGTCGATAAGGGAACAGTGCTTGACAGCCGGGGTTGCTTGACCGAATGAACAATCAGTGATGGTTGGTTAGGCAGTGAGGATGTGTGAAGGGGGCACCCGCCAATGTTTCTCTGAGTTAGAAGGACACCCCGCAGCAATAACGCTGGATTCAGTGGGGATTGACCTTAAGAGTAGAAGAAAACACTCATCAATACCCCCCAATTGAGCAGGCAACACCCACCAATGCCCATGAAGAGCACTTTGCGAGGGCGGATCATGGCGAAGAGGCGGTCAATGTAGTCAAAGATGTTCTGAAACACCTCGTGCAGGGTGGTGGGGGACGGCTGCAGGAGAGATAGTTGTAGGGAAGAGAACGGATGAAAGGAAGGAGATGGGAGGGAAAGCGTCAGGCCAAGGAGGCGGTCAATGTAGTGTAGTCGAGGATGTCCTGAAACACCTCGTGCAGGGTGGTGGGGGACGGCTGCAGGAGAGATAGTTGTAGGGAAGAGAACGGATGAAAGGAAGGAGATGGGAGGGAAAGCGTCAGGCCAAGGAGGCGGTCAATGTAGTGTAGTCGAGGATGTCCTGAAACACCTCGTGCAGGGTGGTGGGGGACGACTGCACGCGACAAGAATGTGGGAAAGGATAGAAGACGGGGGTTTGTGAGGAAAGAGAGCCAGGGCCGAGAGGCGGTCAATGTAGTCAAAGATGTTCTGAAACACCTCGTGCAGGGCGGTGGGACGGCTGCATGCGACAAGGGTGTGGAGAAGAGAAAGGATGGATGGGGAGGAGATGGGAGGAAAAAATCCAGGTCAAACAAGCGGTCAATGTAGTCAAAGATGTTCTGAAACACCTCGTGCAGGGTGGTGGGGGACGGCTGCAGGCAAGACAGGGGGAGCAAGGATGGACGGGAAGGCATTGTGAGGGGCGAGAGCCAGGTCAGCGAGGCATCAAGGTGTTCTAAAGCACCTTGTGCAGGGTCGTGGGGGACGACTGCAGGAGAGAAGGGTGTGGGAAGCGAAAGGATGGAAGGGGAGAAGACGTGAGGGAAAGAACCAGGTAAAAGAGAAGGCCTAGGCAGTCGAAGATGTACTGGAACACCTCGTGCAAGATCGTGAGTGAGGGACGGGTGCAGTCGACAAAGAGAGAGGGTGCGAGGAGGGGAAGAAACGTGAGGGCAGCAAAGGTCGACTGACAAGCGATGCCATGCCATTAGAAATATTCAGAGGCTCGTGTGGCGCGTACAGTAATGCCATGAGGTTGTGAAATGGCGAGCTCTTTGGTTATGCCCATGCTTATGCCTTTGCAGATATTACGTGAGAACCCATCAAGAGTCGACGCGGAACATGCCTAAGGACTCGATGACACCTGGAACGGTAACACGGTAACACCTTCCTCCCGCAGGCGCGACCCCCCAACGAAACGTCACTAACATCATCACGAAACGCTATCACGTTGAGTGAACAACTACGTTCAACAGCACAGATTGACAGACACAGTTGGAATAACTGAACGACTTGCTTATCCTCTACCGGAATCGCTATCTGGTCGCCACAACATACTCGCGCAGTCGCCGGCGTGGACGTAGCAGAGAGTAATGCCACATATGTCCAAGTGCACATGCCCAATTCGCAAAAATTGATAACTCGCACCTAAGGTAACTCGCAGTAGATTAACTCCCCGTTAGGGTGCCTTGCCGTTAAAGAATCTCGCCGTTATTATGGCGACTCGCCGTTAGGGAGATTCGGGTCGCCGGCCAAACTCCCCTCAACCGTGTTCATTCTCAAGGCGTCTCAAATGACTTACACGATCGTCGGGGTGGAAGCACGGGTGAGTGGTGCCGTTCAAGCCTATAAACGATCGCCGTTAGGGGGACTCGCGGTTCGACGATAAAAAATCCCCTCGGCCGTAATACCTCTCTAGGCGTCTCCCAGGGCTTACACGATCGTCGGGGTAGAACGCACAGGTGGATGATGCCGCTCATGACCAAATACAGACGTTCAGCTCGCCGTTAGAGGCATTCGCCGTGCGTCGTTCACACTACCTAATAGCTATTCTCCAATCCGCAGTTGAAAAAAAAAAGCCGTTCGCCATTCAAAATCTCTTCCCAACCCTGTTTGCTCCTAAGAAGTCCGACGGACTTACACGATCTTCCGGGTGGAAGCACGGGTGGATGATGGCGTTCATGTAAAAAAACTAAGTATCGAGCTCGTCATCAGAAAAACTCGCGGCTCGCCAGTGAAATTCCTTAGACCCCGTTTCACTCTCAAAGGAGCACGGCTCGCAGTCGAATGACTTACACGATCTTCGGGGTGGAAACACAGGTGGATAATGCCGTTCATGCCGAGGTACAAATTGTCGAAATCGCCGCTAAAAAGACTCTCGGCTCGCCGTTCCGAATTCCCCTCAAACGCGTTAAGGCGTACAGCGTCTAGAAGGACTTACGCGATCTTCGGGGTGGAAGCACGGATGAATGATGCCGTTCATGTCGAGGTACAGATTGTCGAACTCGCCGTTAGGGTTCGCTTCCACCGTGTTCACCGGCACCGTCACGCCGTCGATCACCTGCGGCTCCTCTTCAATCACATCCACTATAATCAACGGATACTTGTCCGCCAACCAGCGGTAAAACGCTGGAACACCCATCGCGCGCGAATCACCGAACGTAACCCTGCTACACCCCCGCCTCTGTAATTCGTCTCAACGACTAAATAACGCACAGCAGATCGGCACGACAAGCAGAGACACGAAACCAAAAATCTAGGTCTACGTATCTATCAACCAGCTCGCGGCTGGAGTGGAGAACGCAACTGGCGCCGCACGAAGGGAGAAAACTGGATCGAAGTTGGAAAGTACGAAAATATGGAGTTACGTCGCGAGTTTGATCAAGTTGGATGGGTTCTAGGAGGGAGTCATTGAGTGTGGGTGGTGCGGCAGAACCAGGGTTTGGTAGGGAGAGATACTGCTGGACCAAAAGGGGAAGGTTGGGAGAAAAGTGAAGATACGGTCATGGAACGGATGCGAGGAGAATTGGACGGCCAGATATTTTCACGAGGCGATCCGACAAGTTTCGGCCGACAGATAAGAAAAGGTCAATCAGATCTACATTTTTGTGCCGAACCAAACCGCTGGATTAGCGTGTGCACCATTCTACTTTCTCTTGTTTGTTGCGTTTTACCTCACTCCATCCATTCAATGCCCAAACCAAACCCAAGGACAAGGTTTCACGTCTTCCCCCAGCTGCCCACGTCAGCGTAGGCGATCGACAAACAAGGTTGCGTTAGGACGCGGTAAAGGTGGAGAATCGATCGCCTCAGAAATCGTTTTTTAGCGCGGTTGTAAACGGTTGTGTACGTTTCGTATGCAGAACGACGGTGACCGGGTCGATCTCTTCCTGATCAAGCACGTTCACCTCGTCCTTAGGAAGAACGTCAGCTATAGTATGTATTAGATGCTTATGTGAGTGCTTGAATGATAGCCATGATGTAGACTGTCTATGTTGAGTCAATAACGAGTTATTCTCTAGTCATGGGTCACATTGACGTATGTGTTTTGTATTCGCGTTTTGCTTTTTTTTCGTGTGATAAACATTTGGCGTATGGCTGGTGTGTGCAGAAATCTTCCATGGATTCGAGGAATTTAAGGTACATTCTTGGATCGACATTTGTGTCTCAATCCCAAGGTACCACTCTGTACCGAATCAAACCACTTTGTTAAGACATTTCAAACTTGGGTTCGGTTCGGTACAGAGCGGTACTTTCGAGTTAAGACACAAGTGTCGATCCATGAATGTACACTTATATTGAAAACTGTAGCCATTTAAGGGCGTGTTCCTACGGCCCCTTATCAGGCACCTCTTATCAGACTCGTCTGGTAAAATGTGTCAAACTCATATGCTATAGTCTGTGTAGGCTGTAGTGGGGTAGACAATATGGGGTACAACACTTTTAGGTTTTCCTCAGGCCCTCAGATTGGTTTGAGGGTATGCTGATGGATCAGCGTGCCCCTGCCAACCAGGTGTCCAAATCAGCGTTGGTGGTTTTCTTTATACTGATATTGTCAGTGTAAATTTTTTTCCTAAACTGAACCTGCAGTGTAAAAAAACCAAAAAAGCAGAGCTGATGCAACAGTGCATGGATGCGTCCAAAGTTACCATTGTGACAAACAGCAGCACCAATACCGCATGCTGGCTGAATCTACCACTAACAAACTAGCTCATGTCATGTCTTCATCAGAAGAAACGCTCGCATCATCACCACTGCTACTGGCATCGTCATCACTCTCACTGCCATCGCCTGCAGAACCACACATGCCCTCGTCTAGGTCCTCCTCCTCCACCACCCGGCGGCCACTCCCCTTAACAAACTTGACCTTGGCCCGCTCCTTCTCTGGCGCAGCTTGCTCCTTGCGCTTGCTGGGGCGCCTTTTCCTGGTGCTCCGCCAGATGTCCAGCACCTTATCCCACTCCATGTCGTAGTCGAGCAGACTCATTGCTAGCAAATCTCCCAGCTTGGCGTTGCAGAGACTCGTCCGGCGCCACGACTTGATCACATTCTGGCGGGAAAACCCGTGCTCGCACTCGACTGTGCTGAGAGGCAGAACAGCGACCGCAACCCACAGACGGACTAAGTTGGGGTAGCTGGTCTGCCAGTCGTTGGTCTGCAAGATGGCCTTCAAACCTGCGTGAAAGGGCTGCTCTTCCTTGGGGGCAGTGGAGAGCACCGGCAGGAACGTGCGCAGCTCCGCTCGTGCCGCACGCTTCTGGACACCTGCGAAACGGGTTGAGCACAACCAGGGTAGAAAGTCAAGCGCACAACATGGGAATAACGCAACCACGGAAACGGCAATGCATACACGCAGGTCAGTGGGGATCTATTTCTCGCTCACCAGGCAAGATCGTGTCCCGGTTCTTGGCCTGAAACAGATGGACGAGGCCGTGCAGGTGCTCCTTGCACTCTGCGTCTCTTGCCTCGACGCCCCTTGGCCACGAGCGGGGCATGAAGAGCTTCGTCCCCGCTGGTGGTGGTGTATCCCTTGACTGCCTCCTCGTGCAGCTGGAACTTGTGTACACGGGGCTGACCCTCCTTGTCCACCCCTTCCACAGTCACTTCACGGCAGTCGGGCGAGGCATGCCGCGCGAGGAAAGCAGACAGCAGCTCGTTGGTCCCACCGCCAAACTGCTGGCCACAGTTCAGGTACCTCTGCTCCATGTAGATGATGGTCCGCCTCACCTGGGAGTGCACTGCAGTGAGGTCGACCTGTTGGTGGGGGGAGAATTGGTACACCGAAACAAAAGATAAGTACCTGGGAGAAGAAGAGAACTGCAAAACGGAACTCAACAACTCACCTGTCGCTTCTGGAATAGCAGGTTGAGCGCGTTGAGTGCCGTGTGCACATCTGCCAAGAAGAACAGGAAGTAATGAAACTTGAACGACGTTACTAAGTGGTACATCGTCTTGTCCGACTCCTCGAGCATAACGATGACAGCAGGCAGAACGCGTACGAATCGTGCGATTGCATCGCCGCGACTCAACCAGCGGACGCTGTGGATCCCCTGGACCTCGAGGTTGGTATGCGTGAACACTTCCTGCAGCTCCTTGAACTTGCGGTTGGAGTTGCTGGATCTGCCGAGATCTTCCGCCACTGCGCGGATAACCGCGTCGATTATGCCAAGCTCCGGTAGTGCCTTAGCCGCCTCCTTTGCAGCAAGCGCTTCCCTGCCACAGGTAGAAATGCACGGGTGGGGGTGTTAGAATTCGCACTGCGACATACCACGTTGCACATCTCATACCGCAACAACACCACCACAGCAACAGTTTACCTGTGTGCGATGCAGTGAGAAGCCACCACGTGCGGGATCTCCAGTCGAAGACGCCCAACGAGGCCGGTGTCGTTGCCTATCATCACAGGTGCCCCATCGGTGCTGATACCCGCCACCTTCTCCAGCGGCAGACTAATACTGTCAAGGAATCCCGTGATCTTAGCATAAAGAGATGCTGCATCACACTTCTCGACGGAGAGGTTAGTCAGAAACTCTGTGGTGACGGCATGCTCACGCAGAAAGGTTACAAACACAATCATGTGCTTCCCTTTGACGCGGTCCGTACTCTCGTCGCAGCTCAGACCAATGAATGGACTCGAATCAATGAATTCTCTCTGGCGCGCACGAAGGTATGTCGCTATTGCGGCGGTGATCTCTTCAAATCCGTACCTGCACGGGCATCAACGCGTGTGGTTAGTGATAGCTTCACGTATATCACATCCCCCGACGATACTAGAGCAGTGTCACTTACGTCGTATAGTAGGCACCATAACTGCTCTTTGGGAAGCCCGGTGTGCCACACTGCGCTAGATGTTGGACGAGGTCGACGTACATCTCGATCGGGGCGTCGGACTTAGCGATGAAGAGTGCCGTCTCAAATAGCGCGAGCAGGCGCTCCTTCTCGACGTCTTTCACCTTCTTGTTGTCGTCAATCCGGCGGTTAGCTTTGAGCGCCGCCTCGGCTGTCCTCTGTCTGCGCAGAGCGCGACGGTGCTTCCTTGTGCGTTGATGCTTCCGCATTGCCTGGGTCTGCACATCGGTTGCCCCTTCTCCTTTGGCGCCGAAGTTCGTGCCCACACCGCCGTGCGCAATGCAGACCGAGCACTTGATTGACGGGAATCCTGCACTCGTCTGACACAGAACAAGCCACGGATAGTCGTCAGACCACTGTTTGTTGAACATAAATAAGGCATCCTGGTATTTATCCTCGGCTATGTCGAGCAGTTCTGTTTTGGAGGTAACCTCAACCGCATTCCCCTTCTGTTTACGCTGTCGGGCCTCCGGGGAGGAGTTCCCCACACCAGACGTTGGCGTAGCTTGACTGGCACCCCAGTTGATCTTTGTTTGGCGGTACGTCACTTTGATACCCCTTTTGAGACGGGGTCCGACGCGAGTAGTTCCGGCAGCGACAGGATGACGGTTCCGTGTGGGTTCGGGAGCGGCAGGAGTTGATGCGGCAGCGTCAGGAGTTGATGCGGCAGCGTCAGGAGTTGATGCGGCAGCGTCAGGAGTTGATGCGGCAGCGTCAGGAGTTAATGCGGCAGCGGCAGGAGTTGATGCAGCAGCGACACGAGGTAATGCGGCAGCGCCAGCATGCGTCGAACACTCGCCCTACGTCCAGATGGTAGGTGCCTCGGGGCCCGAGGAAGGGAAAACAACGGTAGGAGCTGATGGCGAGACTAACACGGGAGCAGCTGAAGCTCGTCGTAAGAAGTCTAGGCCAGTAAGGGCGGCTGGCTTCGTGGCTGGGACGGATTCAGTGTTGTCACCTGCGGGCGTTGGATCCGCCATGGCTGCTCAGCTGTGCTGAGCGTGCCGAGCTTGAGAGGGAAGCTACTGCCAGGTTGAGCTCGAACGTCACTTCCTGCAGGGGTTCACGACGAGTGCAGGAACAGAATGAGGGAGCAGATGGGGGTACCCCCTCTCCCGAGCCGCCATGGCGAGGGATCGTGGTCCTGGGTTTCCGTCTTTCCAGGCAAGATGACAACACCCCCACCCACCCCACTGCCATATTTTATGGCGTGTTGGTGTGGACCGTGTCAGCAGTGGTGTGCTGTCTGTGTTCTCATTGGGCAGTTGTTGAACTAGGTTCATCGTACTCTGGTGTGATGGCTTCCAGCGAGGCAAAACTGTCAAACATTATACATGTTCATATTGTGTAGACTATAGTGGGTTTAGCCTTAGGGGGTACAACATTGCTAGGGTTTCCTACTTGTATCACCCTGCTGCCTAGTTTCACACATTCTCGTTCAGTTCTACATTCTAACATGGTATCACGAGCCTAGGTTGCTACCTAGGACCGCTTTCTCCTACGGGCCCACTATTCCGCTAGACGCGCCCTCGTGCGTCCTACCTTACGTGCGCCCTCGTGCGCCTTTCTATACTCGTGCGCCCTCGTGCGCCCTACCTTACGTGCGCCCTCGTGCGCCCCCGTGCGACCCGCCCTTCGGTCTGCCCGCGTGCCGTCCTGCAGCCCTCGCGCTGCCTCCTGCAAGCTAGTACGGCCCTCGAGCCGCCCCTGCAGGTCCGTCAGGCCCCCGAGCCGCCTCTGCAGACCCGTCAGGCCCCCCCAAGCCGCCTCTGCAGGCCCGTCAGGCCCGAGAGCCGCCCCTGCAGCCAGCGCGCTGCCCTGCCGAGCCGCGTGTCGCCCGTGGGCGCCCCGTCGCGCTGCCCTGGGGAGCCGCGCGCGACCCCCGCTGTCCCGTCGCGTCGCCCTGGGGAGCCGCGCTCGGCCCCCGCTGCCCCGTCGCGACGCCCTGGGGAGCCGCGCTCGGCCCCCGCTGCCCTGTCGCGACGTCCTGGGGAGCCGCGCTCGGCCCCCGCTGACCCGTCGCGACGCCCTAGGGAGCCACGCGCGACCCCCCCCGCTGCCCCGTCGCGACGCCCTTGGGAGCCGCGCGCGCCCCCCCCCCCCCCCCCCCCCCCCCCCCCCCCCCCCCCCGCTGCCCCGTCGCGGCGCCCTGGGGAGCCGCGCGCCGCCCCCCCCCCCCTCGCTGCTGCCCGAGCCACCCTGCAGCCCGCGAGCCGCCTTTGCAGCGCCGAGTGCGCTCTGCCAAACCCTAAAATAAATAATTAATTATTAAAAAAAAAAAAAAAGGAGCAGCTGCCCCTGGCCCCTGGAGCAGCCGCCCCTGGAGCAGCCGCCCCTGCAGCAGCCGCCCCTGCAGCAGCTGCCCCTGCAGCAGCCGCCCCTGGACCTCTGCAGCCGCCCCTGGCCCCTGGAGCAGCCGCCCCTGCAGCTGCCGCGGAGCCCTCGCCCTGCAGTGGTAGCGGCCTCGCCGTTACCACCGTCGTACGCCTGCCCTTCTCGCCACTGGTGAGCACTGCCCTGCCCGTATTGCTGTTACTGCTGCTCCTGCTGCTACTGCTCTTTCTACTTCTACTGCTACTCCTGGCGTGGCCAGATGCAGCTCCAGCGCCGTCCGCGTGAGTCCCTCACGCCCCAACAGCTTCGTGAGTGGTATGCTGGTTGGGGTTGTAGGGGTGGCCGCGCTGCTGCTACTACTACTGCTGCTACTACTGCTACTGCTACTCCTAGCGGTGGCCAGATGCAGCTCCCGCGACGTCCGAGTGAGTCCCTCACGCCCCAGCAGCTTCGTGAGTGGTACGCTCAGCGTGGAGGGTCACGGGGTACTGCTCGCTGCCCGTACGTCATTCGCACTGGTGCTCGGACTGGTCAGCCTTGCGGGACGTTTGGTCACACAGAGTCCCGCTGCTTCGCCCGTCTGAGCGACGCCTGGCGTACAGAGTTTGGCGACGCGGCTGAGCTCCCCGACTGGGTGGAGCTGCTTAGGCAGAGGGTAGATATCTATGCTCTTGACTATGATGCTATCCTCACTGCCATGTATGCATTTCCTACTAGTGCTGAGAGTGCCTGTCACCTGTGTGTGCCGCCTGACCCCGGTATCCAGTCTGCTGCTCTAGGTACTGGTGAGGCTGCTGCACTAGGTGCTCGTGTGTCTGTTGCCCCAGGTGCTGGTGAGGCTGCTGCTCTAGGTACTCGTGAGTCTGCGCCCTCTGGTACTGCGTCTACTGAGGCACTGCACACCTTCACACTGGACTCAGGCGCTTCCCGCTGTTTCTTTCGTGACCGCACTGCCCTTGAGCAGCTTGCTCGGCCGGTTGCAGTCTCCCTCGCTGACCCCTCTGGGGGTCCGGTCATTGCGACCTCCTCTACTGTTCTCCCTTGTCCTGCGGTCCCGTCGGGCACTCTGTCAGGTCTCTACCTCCCCTCGTTCTCTACGAACTTGGTGGCGGGTAGTGCGCTCCAGGACGGGGGTGTCCACCAGTTTACCCCTGCCTACGAGCGTGTGACACACTGCACGTGCGCTCGGACGGGCCGCCACCTGGCTACCTTCACTCGGCAGCCGGGGTCGGACCTGTACACACTGACCACTGAGTCCCAACAGGTAGCTGCGTCTGCGTCTGCGTCAGGTCAGTTGTCTGCCCCCTGCTCGTGTCGCTCTCTGGCACACGAGACTGTCCTCTGGCACCACCGTCTTGGTCACCCGTCAGTGCAGCGCCTTCGTGCCATGCACAACCGGTACCTTGTCTCTGGTCTTCCCAGGGTTCTCCCTCCACTCCCACCCTCGCCTGCTCCTCCCTGCCTTCCCTGTGTCGAGGGGCGGCAGCGCGCCGCTCCTCACTCCTCCTCGTTTCCCCCGACGACTGCTCCCTTGCAGACGCTCCACATGGACGTGTGGGGCCCAGCCCGCGTCCGTGGACAGGGTCAGGAGAGGTACTTCCTGATCGTTGTTGACGACTACTCGCGCTACACCACGGTCTTCCCCTTGCGCACCAAGGGTGAGGTCCCTGATGTTTTGATCCCTTGGATCCGCGCTTCTCGTCTCCAGCTCAGTGAGCGGTTCCACTCGGACTTTCCTGTCCTGCGTCTGCACTCTGACAGAGGTGGTGAGTTCTCCTCTGACCTCTTGGCAGCCTACTGTGCGGAGCACGGCATCCGCCAGTCGTTCACGCTTCCGGCCTCTCCACAGCAGAATGGGGTTGCTGAGCGCCGCATTGGTTTGGTCATGGAGGTCGCTCGTACCTCCTTGATCCATGCGGCTGCCCCCCACTTTCTGTGGCCGTTTGCGGTCCGATACGCTGCGCATCAGCTCAACCTCTGGCCCCGTGTCTCCGTTCCGGAGACTTCGCCGACACTGCGTTGGACGGGAGAGGTTGGCGATGCGTCGCGTTTTCGGGTCTGGGCTCGCGCCGTGTCCTGCCCTCTCAGGACGTCACTTTTGACGAGTCCGTGCCCTACTACCGCCTCTTCCCCTACCGCACTGCCCCGCTCCCCCCCCCGCCTCTCTTCCTCGCGCCAGGTGCTGCTGTGGTAGACCCCCTCCCCCCTCAGGGTGCCGCTCCCTCAGGTGTGTCCCAGGTAGACCCGGTTGAGCCTGTCGAGGTAGCTGTCGACTCTCGTCCTGCCAGGGGTGCTGAGCCTGAGCGTGCGGAGCCTGGGGTTGCGGAGTCTGGGGGTGCTGAGCCTGGGGGTGCGGGGTCTGGGGGTGCGGAGCCTGCGGGTGCTGAGTCTGGGGGTGCTGAGCCTGGGGGTGCGGAGCCTGCGGGTGCTGAGTCTGGAGGTGCTGAGCCTGGGGGTGCTGAGCCTGGGAGTGCTACGTCTGAGAGTACTGAGCCTGAGCGTGCTGCACCTGGGGGAGGCCTCTCCTCGCAGTAGCTGCGTGAGTGGTACTTACAGTACTGCAGCCTCAGGAGAGGTGCTTCTGGAGCTCGGAGTGGGGCCGGAGCTGGTGCTAGTGCTTCCCCTCCTAGGCAGGAGCTGCCCTCTCCCCAGCAGCTCCGAGAGTGGTACGCTAGGCGCTGCAGTCTCCGGAGTGGCGCTCCCGGTGTCGTGGACTCTGGAGCTTCTGGAGTTACTGGAGGTGCTGCTGCTGCTGGCGGTGCGGCTGGCGCTGCTAGAGGTGCTACTGGTGCTGCTGGAGCTGCTGGAGGTACTGCTGCTGCTGGAGGTGCTGCTGGCGCTGCTGGAGGTACTACTGGTTCTGGTGCTGCTGGAG